TTCCCCCCCCCCATTCCCCTCTCTTTTGCCCCCTCTACTCCCCTCTCTTCCTGCGCCTCCACTCCCATCTCTTCCCACGCCTCCACTCCCATCTCTTCCTGTGCCTCCAATCCCCTCTTTTGCTCCCTCCACTCCCCTCTCTTCCCGTGCCTCCACTCCCCTCTCTTTTCCCTCCTCTACTCCCCCTCTCATTTCCCTCCTCTACTCCCCTCTCTTTTGCTCCCTCCACTCTCCTGTCTTCCCGTGCCTCCACTCCCCTCTCTTCCCCCCCACCACTCCCTTCTCTTTCCCCCCATCCACTCCCCTCTCTGCCCCCCCACTCTCCTGTCTTCCCCACCTCCACTCCCCTTTGTTCCCCCTTTGCACTCCCCTCTGTTCTCCACCCCCACATCCCTCTGCTTGCCCCCCTCAGTTCATCCCCCTCCACTCCCCTCAGTTCATCCCCCTCCACTCCCCTCTGTTCGCGCCCTCCCTGACTTGCACTCACCCCAGCGCCTAAAGTGGAGCAACCTGGCAGGATAATGAATGATAAGGGGGAAACAAAGAACCCACAGGGCGATTTTGACAAGCTGAGTTAATGGGCATGTGCATGGCAACTGCAGAGTAACATGGTTAACTGTGAAGTTGTACACGGTGGGAAGAACAGATTGGTCAGGTATCAGATCAGTGGTGGCAGATTGTGAATTTGGTGATGTGCAAAGTGATTTGGTTTCTGTTGCACACCAGTCACTGCAAGTAAGAGCTCGAAAGGTAAATGGTAAGTTGGCCTTCACAGTGAGAGGGTATGAGATCAGGAGCCTTATGGAGACCACGTCTGAAGTATTGTGTGTAGTTGTGATCCCCTTCCCTAAGGGAGGATACTCTTGCCTCAGATGGAGTGCCAAAACTACGCTAAATCTACTCTGGTCTTTGGCCGAAGGCACAGGCTGCTGAATTTTGGATGACATCAAGTTCGTAGAACATAGAATAGTACAGTACAGTACAGGCCCTTCGGCCCATGATGTTGTGCCAACCTATTATCCTAGTAAGATCAAACTACCCTGCACACCCTACATTTTACTATCCTCCATGTGCCTATCCAAGAGTCGCTTAAATGTCTCTACAGTATCTGACTCCACTACCACTGCCGGCAGTACATTCCACATGCCCACCACTCTCTGTGTAAAGAACCTACCTCTGACATCTCCCCTATACCTTCCTCCAATCACCTTAAAATTATGTCCCCTCGTAATAGTTATTTCCACCCTGGGAAAAAGTCTCTGACTATCCACTCTGCCTAGGCTTCTTATCATCTTGTACACCTCTATCAAGTCACCTCTCATCCTTCTTCGCTCCAATGAAAAAAGCCCTAGCTCCCTCAACCTTTCCTCATAAGACCTGCCGTCCAGTCCAGGAAGCATTCTGGTAAATCTCCTCTGCACCCTCTCTAAAATTTCCACATCTTTCCTATAATGAGGTGACCAGAACTGAACACAATATTCCAAGTGTGGTCTAACCAGAGTTTTATAGAGCTGCAGCATAACCTCACGGCTCTTAAACTCAATTCCTCTGCCAATCAAAGCCAACACACCATATGCTTTCTTAACAACCCTATCAACTTGGGTAGCAACTTTGAGGGATCTATGGATGTGGACCCCAAGATCCCTCTATTCTTCCACACTGCCAAGAAGCCTGCCATTAACCCTGTATTCTACATTCAAATTCGACCTTCCAAAATGAATCACTTCACACTTTTCTGGGTTGAATTCCATCTGCCACTTCTTTGCCCAGCTCTGCATCCTGTCAGTGTCCCGTTGCAACCTACAACAGCCCTCCACACTATCCACAACTCAACCAACCTTCGTGTAATCGGCAAACTTACTAACCCACCCTTCCACTTCCTCATCCAAGTCATTTATAAGGATCACAAAGATCAGAGGTCCCAGAACAGATCCCTGCGGAACACCACTGGTCAACGAGCTCCAGGCTGAATACTTTCCATCTACTACCACCCTCTGTCTTCTGTTGGACAGCCAGTTTTGTATCCAGACAGCCAGATATCCCTGAATCCCATGCCTCCTTACTTTCTGAATGAGCCTACCACGTGGAACCTTATCAAATGCCTTGCTAAAATTCATATACACCACATCCACTGCTCTGCCTTCATCAATGTGTTTTGTCTCAAAGAATTCAATAAGGCTTGTGAGGCATGACCTGCCCTTCACAAAGCCATGCTGACTATTTCTAATCAAACTGTGCTTTTCCAAATAATCATAAATACTATCTCTCAGAATACTCTCCAATAATTTGCCCACCACAGAAGTAAAACTGACCAGTCTGTAATTCCCAGGATTATCCCTATTCTATTTCTTGAACAAGGGAACGACATTTGCTACCCTCCAATCATCTGGTACTACTCCAGTGGACAGTGAGGATGTAAACATCATTGCCAAAGGGGCAGCAAACTCTTCCCTCGCCTCCCGTAGCAAACGGACTGGCTTAACCTCATGATCCGTTGCCATGGAGGGACTCAGAGTTGAATGAAAAAGCAGTGGCATCGGTCTCTCCCAGCCTTTCCTTCCTCGTGACCAATGACTCTTCTTGTTGTAGGTTTTGGCCAGCGCCCTGTGATACGATTGGACGGATACCAGAAAGATGGAATTGAGCTGCAATGTGCTTCGTCTAGCTGGTACCCGCTTCCCATGATGCACTGGGAAGACAACGGGGGCAAGAACATGACAGAGAAGGCAACGATGACATCGATGAAGAACGTAGATGGCCTATATAGTGTCTCGAGCAGCATCAAGGTCACAGCTGGCTCCAGTGACACCTTCAGGTGTTTAGTGAAGAGCGCCATCTTGAAGAGATCACAGCAGAGCAGCCTCCGCATCCCAGGTCAGTGAGCGCACTCGGCTGCAGAAAGGGGGATTGCACGTTTTCTAATGCGACTGTGGAAACTCCCGGACGTTTCACTGCCGATTAAATTCCCTGTTGACATCAGTGCTCCCTTTGCAGAGGGGGTTCCAGTCCAGTCCCAAGGAAGCACTGTACCCCTAAGTCAGAGCCTAGGAATCTCACAGTGAGTAACTCACCTCCTAAATCCCCAAAGCCTGTCCACCATCTACAAGGCACAAGTCAGGAGTGTGATGGAATACTCCCAACTTGCCAGGGTGGGTGCAGCCCCAACAACACTCAAGAAGCTTGACACCATCCAGGACAAAGCAACCTGCTTGATTAGCACAATATCCACTCCCTCCATCACCGACACTCAGTAGCAACAGTGTGTACTGTTGACAAGATGCACTGCAGTAAATCACCAAGGCTCCTTAGATGACACCTTCCAGATCCTTGACCATTACCATCTAGAAGGACAAAGGCAGCAGATACATGGGAACATACCTTGGTTAGCTCTCAGTTGACTGGACGGCTGGGTTTGTGATGTCGAGTGATGCTATAGTGAGGGTTCAGTTCCTGCTGAGGTCACCATGGAGGTCCCATCCTCTCAACCTTCTTCCCACCTTCCTTACTGACTTTGTCATCCTCTTTTCTGAAGGAGAGTTAAAGTGGACTTGAAATGTTAGCTGTTTCTCTCTCCACAGATGCAGCCAGACCTGCTGAATTTCTCCAGCTTTCTCTCTGAATCTATTTCAGCTTTTCACAGCACTTTGCTTTTATTTGCGATCAGGACGTTGATTAGGCTGACACCAGCTGGATGGAATAAATTGACTCCTGCTGTGGCATAAGTGTAACCAGGAATCATGGTTGGTCTCCATCAGGGCAGAGAGCAGGTCCTTTTCACACTCGCCCTCAATGATCCCAGGGCCAGGAAGTAAGGGAGCTGATTTCTAAACTTGCAACCTGACTGAGCCACCTGCCTCCTGGGATCCTGGCAACATGCTTAACGCCTAGTCAGATAGTTCCCTGACAATCCAGACTTCTAAACAGCCAGAGGTTAAGATGGCACAGATGTGTGGTCATAATCACTTCCCCACTTGCTGGTAGTTAGATTGGTGATGGGAAGACTTCGCTGGCGACAAAGAGGCCTGCTTGGGTGGGGCGGGGGGGGGGGGAGGTGTGCTAAGGATCAGAACTGCAGTCCATTTGATAACTTCGCTTTTAATGGAGTTTTCTTCTGATCCCATTTCCAGATGAATTCTTTCCCAGGATGTCACGTTTCTTCACCGCCTTCATCCTGTTTCTCATTTTGCTCTTTGGATTACTGGCAGCTGCCGGTTACTATCAGTACAAACAGCAGAAACATATAAAAGGTATGACATACTGGTCACTGACAAAGAAAGGCACCATTTTGAGAGGGGTCGCCACTTTAAAACAGGGTGACAATTTGACACATGGTGCCGTTTGAATGAAATGTGGCAATTGTGAAATGGCAGCTTTTGCTTTGGAAGCAAGGCATTTTGGGCACTGGTTGCCACAGTGAGATAGAGTGCCATCTTTGTGTCAGTGTACCATTCTTGAGTAGTGCACCATGCTGAATTGGGCCCAGGCGCCATTTTGAGAAAATTCTGAGGAAAGGGACCATTTTGTTGCTCGGTTCCATTTGGAGACAAAATCTTGCCACTTTCAGATTTGAAATGGGGGAAGAAAAAATATGTTGTGCTTGAGTTAAACAGTCGCATTGTAAGAATTGTGAACAGACATCCATAAAGGGGTCTTTGGAGATTTGGATTCTGATGAGGAGGTGTAGGGGGAGGGTCTGCAGTAGGGTAGAGTGCATTCTAGATGGTGGAACTGTGAATCTAGAGAGTGACAGGAAATTGTATGCACACTATTTTACAATATGCTTTCTGATTAAAGGTGGGGGGAAAGGATTTGACTTTCACAATGCAAGAAGTATTGTGTGTATGATTACCGCATAACTGTGTACCATTTGAGGAATGCACATGAAAGTATGTGCATATGTGTCAAATCTAACAGTGCATCATGTGGAAAAACCTCTCTGTTCTCTTTCAGAGCTACACAAACGCCCAACAATCAAAGGTATGTAATGTTTCATGTAAGCATTTGCCTCTTCCCCCTTTAGCAGTTCCGTATCTCTTGTACAACAGTGATTCAATGATTATCCCTGACTCAGCAACTCAGGGGCTAAAATCCTACTCTATAGAGATATTGGCAGGGAGGCAAGCTTCTTACTTCCAGGGCATCCTGAGGGAATACCGTACTATCCTCGATGCCATCTTCCCAATAGGACCTTAAACCGAGGGCCTGTCCTTGGGTGGATGCCAGTTTATTTGGCAAACTGTTTTGTTCTGTCTTTTCTCTGAGGCTTTTCAAACTGTTGCCCTTGGATTTAGTTTGTGAAAATTAGAATTGCCACTGGACGAACTGTAGGAGTTTTGGCCGTTGCCAAACCCAGAATCTCAATCTGTGAATTCAGTCCTAGGCAGGAGCAGGTTGGGAAAGTGGAGTCCATGAGATCCAATCATTTTAGGTCAGTGACAGGGAAAAGAATTGATTGTGGAGAAATGTTGGTGAGATTTTTATTGTGAAAAGACAGATGTAGACAACTGGGTGGGTGAAGCTACTAATGGTAATAATGATTGAATAGTGGGATAGTCTCGAGGGCCTGAATGATCTATTCCTGCTCCTTGTTCATACGTTCAGTACAGAGGAATCTGTACCCAGCCTGCCAGTCTGGCCTACTCCTGAATCTGGGCCCACTATGACATGGTCCATCAGCGAAGCTCTCTGAGGGACCCTGGAAGTCATTGAAGATATTTCATCACCATCTCCTTAATAATTCACTGAGGGAGAGGTCAGGGACATCTACCTCTTCAAAACGAATCAGAAAGTTAGCAATAGGAGAAAACCTTGTCCCACCAGTCAATAGTTGATCTGTGCCCAAGCTCCATTTACCTTTGGCCCATGTCTACCAATCTACTAATCAAAATGAACAGTTGACTCGGCATTAGTTGCTCTTTGTGGAAGAGAATTCCAAACATCCTCCACCCTTCTGCTTGGACGCATTTGTAAATTTTATTCCTGAGAAATTAGGCCCCAGTTTCTACCCTCTGCTTCCTCGTCCGAGTCTGTCTAACCAACAGAAATAGATACTCACTGTTCTCTTTAATGTCTTGAAAATTTTGACCAAACGCTTATTACTCTTCTTATTTCTAGGAAGTAACAACCCTTGCTTGTGTCATGTCTCCTCACAGTTTGATACTTGGAATCCTGGTATCATTCTGGCAAATTGACTTTGTACTGCCTGTAGGGTCAATGCACATTTCTAAGGTGTGGTGCCCAGAATTGAATACAGTATTATGCATAAGGTCAGATGAGGGCTTTGTGTAGCTGAGACATGATTTCTATCCCCCTAGTATTCTCCTCACACCTACTGGTTTGTGAGGCAGACAAAAGACCTGCCCTGGTGTCTTCCCATAGCTTGGTTTTTCCTGGGAACATGTTTAAGAGCCTATAGATTGAAGGGGATCTCTCTGCATGGAATTTGGCTAATCAAGAGACTCTCCCAGTCTCAGCATCTGCTGTAAGGATTTACAGGTTGATAGTTACCCATCTTATGAATGCCCCTTCTGTGATCATCAGTCCTGGAGCAGGATTTGATCTCAGCTGCTGACTCAAAGGCTAGGATCATACTCACTGGGTGTCCCGATACTCTTAATTAACCTCTGGTGCAGTTGGGACTTGAACCCAAGACTTCTGGATCAGACGTAGGCACACTATCATTGTGCCATGAGAGATCCTAATCTCACTGGGCCTCCAATCCCTTTGTATTCTAATCCTCTATCATTGTTTCTGAGCTGGACTGCCAAGCTTCATTGTTAGTTAATGATCATTTGCCGATAGTTAACTCCTGGGGTCACTGACAAACGTTGGATTCCAGTCCCTATCAACCTTCGAATCCTGATTTTAAAATCTCCACTGCTGATACCTGGGCCCTGAGCTTTGAAAGACCCACCGGAAACCTCTCCGACATTCCAGCATACTGAAAAGATGACCAAAGTCTTATCTCTCTGTGTACCCTTTTGAAAAGCTGCTCATATTTCCTTATTTGGCTAGCTATCTAATTTTGTTCACTCTTGTGAAGCACCTTGGGATGTGTTACTATGTTAAAGATTCTCTGTAAATACAAGTTTTTATTGTTGTTGACCATGGTTGCCCATTGATCCTTGTTCTTTTTATTGCAGAGTATGAAGAGCTATGCAATCAAACAAGTAAGAATCAGTTCAGCTATTTCCCATCTACTGTTGAGAGTGTTCCTTCAATCTCACAAATGTTTGCACTTGATGAATCTTGACTGTCACTGAGCGCTCAGTCCAAGATAAAGGGGACCACGTAGAGGGTTCCACGGTACTGTGCTTGCTGTTGAAGAACTCTGGCCCCCTGCAGTCAGTGGGACAGAGTGTCCCAGAGAGCCCCCTGTAGCCAGTGGGACAGAGTGTCCCAGAGAGGCCCCTGTAGCCAGTGGGACAATGTGTTCCAGTGTGCCTGTTGCAGTCAGTTTTGTCTTATGCACTCATGGGCTGTGGGCATCGCTGGTTGGGCCTGCATGTCTATTGACCGTCCCTTTGAGAAGGTGGTGGTCAGCTGCCTTTTTAATCCCTGCAGTCCATGTGCTGTAGGTAGATCCACAAAACCCTTAAGGAGGGAATTCCAGGATTCTGACGCAGCGACATTGAAGGAACGGTGATATATTTCCAAGTCACAATGGTGAATGACTTGAACGAAAGCTTGCAGGTGGTGGTGTTCCTACGTATCTACTGCCATTGTCCTTCTAGATGGAAGTGGTTATGGGTATGGAAGGTGCTGTCTGAGGATCTTTGGTGAATTTCTGTAGTGCACCTTGTAAATAGTACACACTGTTGCTACTGAGTGTCAGTGGTGGAGGGAATGGATATTTGTGGATGTGGTGCCAATCAAGCGGGCTGCTTTGTCCTTCTTGAGTGTTGTTGGGGCTGCACTCATACACAGAAGGGGGGAGTATTCCATCACACTCCTGACTTGTCCCTTGGACAGGCTTTGGGAGTCAGGATGTGAGTTACTCACCGCAGTATTCCTAGTGTCTGATATTCTCTTGCAGCCATTCTGCTTATCTGGTGAGTCCAGTTGAGTTTTTGGTTAATGGTATCCCCAGGATTTGATTGTGGGGGTATTCCGTGATGGTAACACCATTAACTTTTCAAGTGGCACTGGTTACATTATCTCACATTGGTGATGGTCATTGCCTGGTATTTGTGTGGCGCAAATGTTACTTCCTACTTGTCAGCCCAAGCCTGGATATCGTCCCGATCCCGTTGTATTTGAACACGAGCTGTGTTCAGTAACTGGGGAGTCATGAATGGTGCTGAATATTGTTCAGTCAGCAGCGAACACCCCCATTCTGGCCTTATGGTTGAAAGAAGGTCATTGCCAAAGCAGGTAAAGATGGTTGGGCTTGGGACACTACCCTGAGGAACTCCTGCAGAGATGTCCTGGAGCTGAGTTAATTGGGATGCTGTATTCCAAAATACAGCCATAGGCCTGCTCCAGACCTCTGGTTGAGTTTCACTGACAGGCACCATCTTTCTCTGGTTCAGATCAATGAGATGATATCTGCCATTTGTAGGTGTCAAGAGGACTGTTAAAAGTTTTAATATTATTCCACTTACAACGCGCAAGTCAGAACTGTGATGGGATACTCCCTACTTGTCTGGATGAATACAGCTCCTAAACACTCAAGAGGCTTGACACCATCGAGGAAATAGCAGTCCATTTGACTGGCACCACACCCTTCCCTCTCTCTACCCCTGGTGCTCAGTAGCAGCGGTGTGTTCTATAAATTTCCAATCTTCTGAACTGATGGTCGCAGCTCATCCTTGATGTGTCTTTTTCCTTTTTCAGAGGACCTTGAGAACAATGTTGGTGAGTTTTCTAATTCAGTGTTTCTGTTGACTGTTGTTTTGACTTGTATCCACATCACTGAGTTGGATATGTTCCGTTGGTTTCTCGTTTCAATTGGGATTGATGGATTTTGATCCCAAACCTGGGAATGATCTGTCTTTTAGTAGGTGGTAGCTTGTGGCTAATAGCCTACCACTAGTTGGTGAGTACAAAGCATCCTGCTTCCCCCCTCCAAGGGCTAGGCAGAGCTCTGATCCAGATAATAGGTGAGGTCCAGACAGGGATCTGACCCAGATACTATGTGAAGTTCTGGCAGAGATCTGATTCATGCCCTAGGCCAGGTCCATGCAGAAATCTGATCTAGATCCAAAGCCAGTCACAATGAAAGATGTCTCTGTGTCTCCCTGGACAATGAAAGCCTGTCCTGATCCAGTTTCTATCAGTTAATAATTTCAAGCATGAAGATTGTTTCTCTACTATCACTAATTAAGTGTTTTTTTCTTTGCTTTGTTTTCTCACAGAGAGTGCTAATGCTAATTTAGGTAAGTTACTCTCAATCCAATGTGAGAGGGATGCTTCTCTCTCACATTCTGATTCTCACTGTGGCTGAACCTGGGTACGTTCCTCCACCTTAAGCTGCAATTTAAATACATACTGGGGTCCTCTTTCTTTGTCTCTGTCTTTCTTGAGTTGGACATGGAATTGGAAAATGAAATCTGAGAGGATAAACCCAATAACCAAGGCTGAACAGAAAGACTGAGGATGGGACTTTCAGATTTAAATTATTAAAGTTTTGAAAGGAGCTTCCATACAGTAGACATGGAAAAGATGTTTCTAATGCTGGAGGAAATCATTGAGATTGACCTCCTGGGCTGAATGGCCTGTATCTGTCCAGTGGACCTGTAGCATTTATTTAGAAACAAAGGAAGTAGGAGTAGGCCACTCGGCCCTTCGAGCTTGCCCTGATCATGAGTCTTTTCCTCAGAAGGTGGTGGAAGCAGAGTCTTTGAATACTATAAATGCCATGATGTGGAGGTGCCAGTGATGGACTGGGATGAACAAAGTCAGAAGTCACAAGACACCAGGTTGCAGTCTAACAGGTTTATTTGAAATTACAAGCTTCTAGAATGCTGCTGCTTCATCAGGACTTCACTTGACAAAGAAACATCGCACCAAAAGCTTGTGGTTTCAAATAAACCTGTTGGACAATAACCTGGTGTTGTGTGATTTCTAACTTTGAATACTATTAATGCAGATGTTGCTAGATACTTGCTGAGAAAGAGGTGAAAGGCTATCAGAAAGGGTAGGAGGAAATGTGAATGAATCAAATCAGCCATTGAATGTGCAGAATAGACTCGAGGGGCTGAGTGGCCTGCTCCCTGTCCTGAGGCGTAAATTTATGTGACCTAGTGTGTATATCCCTTATTCTACCTCTCTCCCACTGCCTCCTCTTGTCTGCCTCTCTCTGTCACTGTCTGTCTCACTGTCTCACTGTCTCACTGTCCCACTGTCCCACTGTCCCACTGTCCCACTGCCTCACTGCCTCACTTTGCCTGCCTCTCACTCGATCTATCATTGTGTGTCTCTCGCACTCTCGCTCGCTTTCTGTCACGCTGTTTCTGTTGCTCTCTGTCTCCTTCCGTCATGTTGACTGAGGATTGTGGTGGGAAGATATTGGAATAATATGGTCTTGAGGTAACATAGGAATGGATGAGAGTTTCAGTGATGGATGAGCTGAGGCTGGGTATAGTTGGACAGCATTGGGAGGTGGAATAAGTGGACTTGACTTTTCTGATTGGATGAGTTTGTGGTAGGATTGGTGGTCTTGTTCTGATTGAGTAGAGCATTGGTCATGCCACAGGGAGGTAATGTTTTATTAATGAAGATATCTTTGCTTCATTACAGCTCTGGAGAAGATTCTTTCCCAAACAGGTAAGGTCTCAATGGGCTGGTGCAGCACTGGTCAAATTCTCAGTGTTTCTCTATCTCTGACCTCCACAGTGTGCTCCCATCTGAACCTGACTCCCTCCACTTTCACAGAAAGGCTAGATAGCCTGTTGGCTTATCCCACTGTCCTATCAATGTTTGGAGATTTGATAGATGCCAGCACCAATGGGCTGAATGGCATCTGTCAACACTGTAAAGATTCAGTGATAGTGTTGATTGATGGGATGGAGTGGAGCTGTGGAATATTAGTCTGGCTGTATGCCTTTGATGTGTTACTGACCCTCGTACATGTACCTGGACAGGGGGTCATCACTCCTCTCCCTGACAGCTAAAAGTTACGGATCAGAAAAGCCCATTGACCCAACAAAGCCCATCCCTTGAGAAGACCTCAACTGTTTCCCATCAGTGACATCTCCGCTGTGGGAAAGCTAAAATCCTTCCTCGATTTTTGTGGAAAGATTATAACTGTTTCTATGTTTCCAGAACATCGGGCACTGCACGGTGGAGCATAGAACAGTACAGCACAGGAACAGGTCCTTCGGCCCACCACGTCTGTGCCGTCCATGATGGCGTTCTAAGCTAGTCCCACCTGCCTGCATGTGGTCCATAATCTGTCTATTTAATGCCTGTTTGTGTGTCTGTCTAAATGCCTCTTAAACATTGCTATCATCTCTGCCTTTAGCGTGTCCCCTGACAGAGCATTCTAGGCACCTACCACCCTCTACGTAAAAAAAAACTTGCTTTGCACATCTCCTTTAAATGTTTCCCCTCTCACCTTAAATCGATGCCCCTTGTATTTGACATTTCCACCTTGGGACTATCCACGCCCCACAAAATTTTATAACTTCTATCAGTTTGCCCGTCATCTCTGAAGCTCTTTTGAAAACAATCCAAGTTTGTCCAATCTCACCTTATAGATAATGTGCTCCAATCCAGGCAATGTCCTGGTAAACCTCTTTTGCATTCTCTCCAAAGCCTCCACATCCTCCCAATAGTGTGGTGATCAGAACTGCACACAGTACTCCAAATGTGACCTAACTGAAGTCTTGAACAGCTGCAACATGACTTGCCAACTTTTATACTCAATGCACCGACTGATGAAGGCAAGCATGCTGTATGCCTTCTTTATTATCTTATCCATTTGTGTTACTACTTTCAGGGAGCTATGGACTTGCACACCAGGATCCCTCTTTAATCAATGATCCTCTGGGTCCTGCCATTTACTGTATACCTTCCTCTTACATTTGACCTCCCACAGTGCAACACCTCACACTTGTCCAGATTAAAATCCATCTGCCATTTCTCCACTCAACTTTCCAAATTGTAACTCTATTCATTGATCATTTTCTCCAGAACTCCACCAATTTTCATGTCATCTGCAAATGTACTAATCAGACTACCTACATTTTCATCCAAATAATTTATATATACTACAAACAACTGAGGTCCCAGGACTGATCCTTGTGGAACACCACTGATCACTTTCCTCCAGTCAGTAAAATACCCCTCCACAACTACCCTCTGTCTTCCAAGATCAAAGCCAATTTTGTATCCAACTTACCAACTCACCCTAGATCCCATGTGCCTTAATCTTCTGGTCCAGCCTATCATGAAGACCTTGTCAAATGCTTCAGTAAAGTGCATGTAGACAACATCCACCGCCCTCCTACATCAATTATCATTGTCACTTCCTCAAAAAAATTCAAATTTGTGAGACAAGACCTCCCTTGAACTAAGCCATGATGACTATCCTGAATAAGTCCATTCTTTTCCAAACACGAGTGAATCCTGTCCCTAAGAATTTTCTCCAATAATTTCCCTACCACTGATGTAAGACTCACCAGCCTATAATTTCCTGCATTATCCCTGTTGCATTTCTTAAACAATGAAAGAATCTTAGCTATTATCCAGTTGTCTGGGACCTTGCCTGTGGCTAAAGAGGGTACAAACATCTCTGTCAAGGTCCCATCAAACTCCTCCCTTGCCCCCTTCAGTATCCTAGATCCCATCAGACCCTGGGAACTTATCTGCCCTAATGTTTTTCAAACACCTGCTTTTTCATATTGACAAGCCCCGGAATATCAACATACTCCCCTCTCATCTTACCATGATCCATGTCCGTCTCCTTGGTGAATGCTAATGGAAAGTATGCATTGAGGAACAGCCCCACTTCCTGTGGCTCCACACATAAATTCCTACCTTTGTCCTTGAGTGGACCTACCCTTTTCTGAGCTACCCCTTGCTCCTAATATATGTATAAAATGCCTTGGGATTCTCCTTAATCATACAAGCCAAGGACACATCATGGTGCCTTCTAGCCCTCCTAATTTCGTGTTTAAGTTCTTTTCAGCTTCCTTTATACTCTGCAAGACCTCAAGTAATGCTGACAGTTGTTGAATGCATTAATGCTTGTATGGGGGGATGGAGGGGTCGTAGGTAGTGGTTATTTGTCACAAAATGAGTCAAGCTGTGTTGGTGGTGGGTGGGTGAGGTGCTGGTAGTGGTGGTTAAAGAAAATGTTCAATGATCCTTTAACTTCGATTCTCTGTGTTTTCAGCTGCCGAAAGGGTCATTGCTGCTGCAGGTGAGGAGGGGTTTTCTGGTCACTTTGACACGTTCTTCCCCCATTTCCCGGGAATCACGCTGGGAGCTCTGTTCCACTCCCTTCAGGTTTAAGATAACCAGAACTCTGCCTTTGATGGGGAGTTAAAGTACGAAGGCCATCCTTTGAGAAGTGCTGTTTAAGGTCACACAGCGTCATGTAAAGAGCAGGAGAATTCTCCAGCCAATCATTCATCCCTCGACCCATTAAAACCTGGCACAGTCTCCTCATGTGCTGGCCAAGTTTGTACACAACTTGTCTCTATGGCCCCAATCGTGCACATTAACTGAAGAACTGATCTTTGATATTAAAAAAAATGTTGCTTCCATTGTAGCTCCCTCAATAATATGTTCTGGGGGAAGAGTTCCAGATCTTCACTCTCCTTTGTGTGAAAAATTGCTTCCTGATGTAGCCCGAACAGCCTTGGTTAGGGTTTGAGATTCTGTCCTTCTGTGTACCCTGCCCCCCACACACAACCAGAGGGAATTGTTTCTCCCTGTCACCCTCCGATCGAATCCTTTAACTATTAAATATGTCAGTTGGAACATTCCTTCATTTTCTATATTTATGATATACAAAACCAGATCTATTTAATCTTGTTCACTTCAGTTGTATTTTGGTGGAACTGTAATGCATCCACTCCAAGGCTACCATAGCCTCTTTCTGTATTGGTGCCCAGAACTGTGTGGTATATGGGGCTTGATCGAAGCTTGATCCATTTCAACGTCCCTTTCTACCGTAGGGAAAAGGCATGGGACTGATCGGGTAACTCTACCAAAGAGCCGTCACACTCACAATAGGCTGAATGGCCTCCTCCTATGCTGTGGTTCTTTAAACGTTTTCCAGTTGCCCACTCACATCAGTGATTTCTGGAGAATGCTGAAAGTTAGTGTCAAAGGCCTGACCTGTGACTTCCTTTTGTGTTGACAGTACCTGTGACCTTTGACCCAGAGACCGCCAACCCCTACCTGATAATCTCAGAGGACCAGCTGACCGTGACGTTCAGTGAAAATTGGCTGGACCTTCCGGAAAGCCCGAAGAGGTTCACCTCCCGGCTCTTTGTGATCGCGAAAGAAGGGTACAAGAGTGGGAGCCAATACTGGGAGGTGCTGGTGGGCAACAAGCCTGACTGGGATCTGGGAGTGGTCGAGAAATCCATCTCCAGGAACGAATGGATCACACTGAGCCCGGAGAACGGGTATTGGACCATCGGGAAGCGGGGTGATACCTATGAGGCCTATGAAGCGATGCCTGTAGAACTTGAGTACAAGACGATTGCTCCGAAAATTGGCATCTACCTGAACTACGAGGAGGGGACAGTTCGTTTCTATGATGCTGACTGCATGGAGCAAATCTACAGCTGCACGGCGAAATTCACAGAGGAAATCTACCCATTCTTCAGCCCCTGGGGATCCCAAGAGGGGATGACAATCTGCCCCCTTTAATTCCCCATTGTCCATCCCCGAACAGCCCTTATCCACGGGGCCTTGGAGAAGAAAGATGGACAAGATCGAGAAGGAGCGAAACTAATTCACTTTTTGCAAAGGGGAAGAGATTGTGATAAGTGATACAGGCATTGCCATTTTTATTTGTACATGGTTTGCATGATACATCATGCTCAGTGAAGAGAATCAACGCTGGCACTTGTGTGGGTGACACAAGTAGTTTGTACACGTTGCTTTTGTTGCCCCGAGCTCTTGTCCCACTCACCCTTCACAGGCCCATTCCCATCTTGAAAGTATTGACTCGAATGGTGATGGGCTAGACCAAAAATCAGTACCATAAATCGAAAGTAATTCTTAATAAATCCAAATGGAGCAATTGAAATGAATAGTAACATACTTAAGGGGAAGCTGGATAAACACATGAGAGTGGCTGAGATAGTGCAGATGTAAAAGGAGATGATGATGTACTTCTAATGACTAGCAATCTGATTAATGCTCTTGGGACACAGGTTTCTATCCCAGTCTCTGCTTGAGCAATAAATGCTCCTTTATTCAACACTAATGCATCTGCTCCTTCTGTAAAGCAGTTAAGTGTCAGTGAAGTTGGTGTTGAATGTTCAGCTAAACTCAGATTAAGTTATGACTAAGGTTAGAAAGATGGCTTATTTGAAGCACAGGAAGTGGCAACTCTGCACCTTTTGTGTTGAATTTCAGCTCTTCTGGGGATTTCAATCCAAAAGACAATTCCTTCCTGCTCCAAAAGCCAATGGTTCTGAAACCGAGACCTTTCATTCAATTTATGTCAACTTTTGATGCCCCAGTCTCTCTCTCTCTGCCATCTTGGCCATTAGCCCAATCTGCTCCTCATCCCTACCCTGTAATTCTAGAGGATTCAGATGTGATGGACAATTAGTTTAACCATTTGTCATATGATCTTGCTGAACTACATAAACCGTGACAGTATTAGTTCCGTGCTCTTATCTACTAAAAGCACTCACTATTCCAGGCAACATTCCCTCTTAGCCAACTGCTGTCCCTTGGTGACACCATCCATCAAGAGAATTAGCTCTCTTCCTTAACACTGACCACACCCAGCTCTACCTCAATGCCCAGCACTCTCGACCCTCCTACAATGTTAAATTATCAGGCAGCTGGCTGAACTTCCAGTACTGGGTGAACAAGAACATTCTCTCCAATTAAATATTGGGAAGACCAAACCCGTTGTTTTCAGTTCCACTCCAAACACAGTTCCTGAGTTACCAGCTCCTTCTGTCACCTTGACGACAGTCTCGGATAATGCCAGTCTGCTCACAATTTGACCTGAAGGTGAGATTCCAAGCAACTCTCACCAAGGCTGCCTAATTCCACCTCACTCTGTTTTTCACTACAGGGCCAGGAATCATGAAGTCAAACATAACATCAAATTGGCTTCCTCTCAAAGTCTTGCGAGGGTAATGGACATAGTCAGTCACTGGGATAAAATCCCCTGATTCCACACTCATCTCAGCTTATCTGCTGTTGAAACCTTCATCCTCACAGTGGTGTCCTCTGGGCTCGATTATTTCAGTGCACTCCTGGCTAGTTCCCCCACGTTCTATGCTTCATTAACCTGAGGTTGACCACAAAACTGCAAAGGGTCCTTTACTTGCAGTAAATCCCGTTGTCCCCTTGCCCCAGTTCTTGCTGACCTGCATTGACTCCCAGGTTTTAAAATTCTCATCATTGTTTTCAGATCCCTCCATCTCCCACCAACCCTTTCCATCTCTACATGGTCCCTCAGCTCCGTGAACCCCCCCTCAACCCCCCACAAGATGTCTTTGTTCCTCTTATTCTGGCCTCTTGAAAGATGATAGTGCTTTTAATTGCGTCATCATTCGGGATCATGCAATCAGAAGTCGTGGTCTCTCTTCCACCTCTAACCCCTCTGCCACATTTTCAAAAATCAAGACACCTCTTAAAATCCTGCTGACTGAACGAATGACCATCTGACATCACCACCCAGATGTGCTAAATGCTGAAGTTTGTACATTTGCAGTCCTGTGAAGTGCCTTTTGATCTTTTATTACATAAAAGATGTTATATAAATTTGATTATTTTAATCATTGTGTTCTTTTAAGGACTACGCTGCATATTTTTTATTAAAACAGAAATGAATTTCCACAGCTGGGAAGTCTCCTCTGTTCTCCTGCATTCGCACTGAAACACAATGGTTAGTTCAGTTCTTGGGAAAAGCCAGCTTACTGATTCTCCAGGATTGATCCAAACTCTCCTGGATTTGGGATCCTGCAGACAGGGTGTGAAATAATTCATTGGGCTCATGTAAAGAATTATTTTCAATCAACACTTTCATTCACTGGTTATGAAAATGTGGGAGATGCTTAACATCCAATTGGCTGGCTGGAGACAGGTAGTTACTGTGAGGATAGATATTGTGGGTGACCAATGATGGGAGAGAGAGGTTGGGAGATGGCAGGCAGGGCAATTATGTGATGAAACCCTCAGGAATACATTCAAGCAATGCCCATGTCTTCATGGTGAATGGGTTGTCAGTTAGCTCAGTTGGTTCGATGGCTGGTTTGAAATGCAGACTGACGCTAAAGTTGATTTGTTCTCGGTAAACCCAATGCCATTAGGGAGGCAGTTCCACAATACCGTCCACAGTAACAATGAAGGAGCACTGATATAGTTGCATATCAGATGGTGAGTGGTTTGGAGGTAAACATGCAGGTGGCAGTGTTCCATTGCTTACAGACGATGATAGAATGGCAGAGTAGGTTGGGAAATGAGATGCATAGGGATCTTTTAAACAGAACAAGGAAATGAAGAGATTTGAACAGGCAGGGCAGGACTGTTGGCAAAATGAGGAATGATATAGGATCTTAAGGAAGTGATGGGGTGGAAACCCAAAGGTTGTTTCCTCTTGCAGGTTGTGGGCGAAAAGACTAAAACTATGCAACATAGTTTAAGAATGAAAAGTCTCCCTTTAAAGATCAAGAGCAGAATTGCTTTTTGAGGGTCATTGAAATGAGGAATTGTCTTCCCTAGAAAGAACAGGTGGCTGGGTCTTTAAAATTATTCAAAGTTGAATTTGATAGATTTTTCATAGATAAGGGAGTGAAAGGTTAAATTATGCAGACAGGAAAATGGAGGTGAGATCTCATTGAACGTCAGAACAGCTTGATAGGCCAGGTGACCTATTCCTGCTCTTAAGTCCTTTGTTCCTATGTATGTTCTATCTCATCATTCACAAAGAAGTGAAAAACAATAACAGAAGCCACGGTTTTAGAGGGAATATACATAAAATTTAAATTAATCTCTCCGGGCTTCGATTGTTCCTGAGCTGAGACAGAGAGACAAAGATGTGGACAGACAGAGATACAGAATGAGCATACTGCTCCCTCTTACTCTTTCCTCTCCACCCTCCTGATTCACACCTTTCCCTCATAGGATATTAATAGGAAAAGACAGGGTAGTTGGAGATAAAACTCTTTCCACTGCATTGCGATTCTAAACCTACCGGGCGCAGAGTGAGAATTAGGGTCAGAAAATTCAGGAGAAATATTGGGAAGCACTTCAACACACAAAGGTGCACAGAGAGTTTTGGAACTCTCTTCCACATGGTAGTGGATGCAGGATCAGTTGTTAATTTTAAATCTGAGGTAGATCATTTTTTCTGAAGCAAGGGTATGATGGGTTATGGGCCAAAGTTAGCTATATGGAGTTAGACCACAACTCAGCCATAATTTCATTCAATGATGGAAAATATTTTGAGGGGCTGAATGGTCTACTCTGTTTCTGTATTCCTGTAATTACCACTTCCCCTTAATAGTGTGTTATTTTAGTAATCCAGAGGCCTAGTTTAATATGCAGAGTATGTGAGCATAAATAACATTATTTAAATAGAATTATTTAAAGTGATGACACTTGTTGTAAAATCCCAACTTGATCATTCATGTCCATCAGAAATTGAAAGCTGCTGGTCCTGAATTTTGATCCTCAGGCTCATATAGCACCTACAACAAACAATATGGTTCATACACTGACAGGAACCACAAGTGATTGTGCAAGCAATGTCTCTGATTTATGCATGCTCAGACATGATTGGATTCCCTTAAGTTACATTTGCCATAATATCCACATTTTATTTAACAGGGACAAACCTGAATCACGGAAAGAACCATTTTGTATTGACCTGTGTTTAGGTTCTTTTAAGTGACTGTGCAACAGCTCAAGCATGAACCTGTTTGATCAGAGCAATATACCCTTCTGCCACTATCAATGGACCAACAATCAGCTGCATTCGACACTGCAGGGTTATCCTGAAAAGGGAGACGTGTTTCTAAAGCTTTCCATCTTGCATTTCTTCAGGACAAATGCAAGAATGCCAAATTTGAAATCATCACAACATCAGGAGAACATAGAACAGTCTGGCACAGAAATAGGCTCTTTTGTCCATCATGTCTGTGCTGCCTGTAATGCTATTCTAAACTAATCCCTCTGCCTGGACAAAGTCCATACCCCTCTATTCTCTGCCTGTTCACGTGTCTGTGTAAACGCCTAATAAATGTTACTGTCATATCTGCTCCTCCGACCTCTCCTGGCAGCGTGTTCCCTGTACCTACCACTGCCTGTCTAAAAAACTTTCCTCACACATTTCCTTTAAACTTACCCACTCTCATCTAAAATGTATCCCTCAGAGTATTTGACATTTTAATTGTGGGAAAGAAACTCCAACTATCCACTGTATCCATGGCCCATAGTTTTAGATACTTCTCTTAGGTTGCTCCTCAGCCTCCAATGCTCTGGTGTAAACAATTCAAATTTGTCCAACCCCTCCTTCAAGCTAATACACTCCAATCCAGGCAACATCCTGGTAAACCTCTTCTGCACTCTCTCCAGATCCTTCCACATCCTTCCTATAGTGTGGTGACCAGAATTGCGCACAGTACTTTTGGCTTGCCTAAAGTCTTATACAGTTGTAACGTGACTTGACAACTTTTATACTCAATGCCCGCACTGATTAAGTCAAGCATGCTGTATGCCTTCTTCAGCACCTTATCCACTTGTGTTGCCACTATCAGGGAGCAATGAACTTATACCCTGAAATCCCTCAGAAAAACAATGCTTCTCAGGATCAGGCCATTTCCTGAATTTGACTTCCCAAAATACATCACCTCACGGTTGTCTAGAGAATAGGGTGCTGATTGGTTGGGAAGTTGATTATGAGCAGGGGTTCTAATAGAATTCAGGTTCTTTTAGTAGGGAATTCAAATGGCATGAAAATCAGACAGAGGGTAAAATCAACATCTCACCCAACCTCACCAGTATCGTTAAAGTTAGCTCTGGTTCAAATTTCCCTCTGAACTCCAAAAGAAGGGGACAAACAGTTGCAAATGGGGTTCAATTCAGAGAAGTGTGAAGTATTTAGGGAGGGCAACAAAAGCAGGGGAACATATCACAAACAGGAGGATGCTGAAAACTAAAGAAAAGCAGAAGAGCAGAAACAATTGCTGGAGAAACTCAGCAGGACTGAGAGTACCTACAGAGAGACAGGAAAGTCAATGTTTCAGATCCTTTCTTCCGTGACCCGTATTCAGAAGAGAGGAAGCTTGCTTTGCATGTCCGTATATCTCCGTAGGTGGCAGGGCTGGTAGGTGTTGTAGTTATAAGGTAATAAACAAAGAACAAAGGACATTACAGAATAGGAACAGGCCCTTCGGCCCACCAAAATGACCTCGACACATGATACCTTTCTAAGTTAAAAACCTTTTGTCACAATGTGGTCCGTATCCCTTTATTCCTTGCCTGTTCATATATCTGAACAAGGAACACTTTATTTGCTGTAGCCCAGAGTGAAAAGCAGGGAGATTATGACTTTATCAACCTCTCCTAAGACTGCGGAGAGCTGTGTACAACTTCTGGAACTTATTACAGGAAGTGTGTGATCACACCAGTGAAGGTACAGAGGACAGTTCAAACGGTATTTTGGCGTGCAGACTTTTAGCAATGGGACAAGTCCGTTTTGCCGCAGGAAGTTGATCAAACATTTCAATATTGCAATGTTACAGAGGGTACAGGAGCATTGACGTTAAACTGATGAAAGCTCAGCTCAAAATTCTCCGGATTAAATTCAGAACTCCGTCCTCTTTTTTTTTTATGAAGTTGACGCCCGAAAATTATCAGCTGAATAGTTTATGGACAGGAGGAGTGGACGTGACATCAAATAGAAACTGAAAGCTCTGATCTCTGCTCTTTTATGGCGCCCTTCCCGAATTTTGGATTTTCTTTTCTGGGTGAGTTTGGTGGTAATTTCAGCTCCTGTCTATTTCAATGTAATGGACTCCGATCTCCCTCTCGATGGGGATCTCCTGGATCTCACACTCAGTCCCGGGGGAAAGTGGGACTCAGTCCCGGAAACGAGCAGAGGCCTGTCCCGGATACTGGGAGGGCCGGGCTGTGGGAGGATGACGGTTCACAGACCCTGGGTGAAGGGGAGAGTGTGTCCCCTTGTTTCCTATAAGCTTTATATTCATCACCTTCAATTTCTGTCCCCTAGTCGTTGGTTGCACCGCCAGGGGAAACATGTCTTCCCTGTCCACTTTATTGTACAGCCACATTATTTTTTACATCATGATTAAGTCACCCTTCAGCCTCTTCTATTGTCAGGAAAACAAGTCTAGCCTACTCAATCTTTCCTCATTCTTGCAATTTCCAAACCCCGCAACATTCTTGTAAATCTTTTGAATTCTGTAATTGTGTCTTTCCTGTAGACACTGACTAGAACTGTACAGAAAACCGCATCTGTGTCCAGGGTCTTTATACAGACACAGCAATTACATCCTGCTTTTATAATTCATTGCCTCACACAATGAAGGAAAGCTTCCACATATGCATTCTTTACCTCCTTACCTACTTACCCTGCTACCTTCTGGGACTGTGGATGTACACTATGAGATCCTTATTTTTGTGCACCTCAATTCCCTCCTGTTTAATGTGTATTCCTTGGCTTTGTTTTCCCTTCCCAATTATACATCCTCCCATCTCTCTGGATCGAATTCCACTTGTCACTTTTCCAGCCACACAAGCAAACCATTGACTTCATTCTGTAATTTGCAGCCCTATCAATTACATGTACAGTTTTTATGTCTGCAGATTTCCCAATCATGCTTCCAATATTTAAATCTAAATTATTAACACTGTCATGTAAGCACCCAACACTGGATCCTGTGGAACACCATTGAAAAATGTTTCTCATTCACAAAAACACCTATTGACCATTACACTTTGTTTCATGTGGTTGAGCAAATTTGGGATCCAACTCATCAAATTCCCCTTAACCCCATGGCTTTAATTTTTCTGACCAGTCTGCTATGTGGGATCAAATGCCTTACTGAAATGCATGTAGTCAACATCCAATGCACTATCCTCATCATTTGTCCTTGTTACTTCCTTTAAAAATCTAATTCAAGGAGAGAGAAATGAATTAACTTAGCAAAACCAGGCTGACTATTTCTGACCAACTCATGTCTCACTAAGAAATAGTTAATCATTTTGCTCAATATAGATTCCAGTAATTTGCCCACCAACAAGTGTAATTAATTGGCATATATGGTATAATACTTGCAAACCTCCAATCCTCTGGTTCCTTGCCTGCATCTGTTGAGGATTGGAAAATGATCCTCAGAGGAACTTTTTTTTTAATCCATGGTTTACATCAATACTATTGGATACAATTCATCCAGCCCACCTTCAGAAATGCCAGTCCCATCAGTACATTCCTTCTCATGAGTTTTATGCCAGTTGTGCCGGTCAAAACAACTGTGTAACTATTCTAATTCTATTTTTCTCCACTTAGCCTTATATGCCTCGGTATTGCAAGTGCACATCTAAATATTTCTTAAATATTATGAAGAATTCTGCCTCTCCCACTCTTCCAGATTCCCACCAGCTTCTGGGTGAAATAAATTTTCTTTACAACCCATTGAAGCCTCCTGCCCCTTACCTTAAATCAGTAACTCCACCAAGGGGAAAAAGTATCTTCCTGTCTACCCTGTCTATGTCCCTCATAATTTTATGCATTTCAATCATATCTGTTCAGTCACCTCAGCTCCATTGAAAGCAATCTCAATCTATACAATCTCTACTATTTTCCAGCTTTGGAAGAGTCACATAGATGTACAAATTAGTGAAAATTCTATAAACAGAGGAGAGAATAATATGAAAATTGGGAAGGCGTGCAAGTAACTTTATGGAAGTCTATATGCGTAAGTCAGTATAAGTGGGTGTGTATGTCAGTACATGTGGGTGTATATTTCAATATATGTGTACACATTTTTCATTTGTGTGTATATTTCAGTATATCTGGGTGTATACTTCAATTTCTGAGTATATGTTCGTACATTTGAGTGTATGTTTCAGCATATGTGGGTGTATATGTCAGCACATGTAGATGTACATACCCTAACATTGCTGCTCTCGGTGACTGTTCAGTACGCCCATTGATTGCACTGATACCGACTCTCCTGAATATCCTGTTATTGATGTAAATTCTCTGGTAATATTTTAGACAGCTATGACACATCATTCCCTGGATCTGCTGATGCTGGATTTCTGAATTTCCAGAATGCTACTTCTGCTCCAGGCTCTTATATGGATCTCTCATGGTAGGGAAATACATTTCAAAAATAATAAAAACCAGGACTCACACAGAAATTTGAGCATGTAATCTAGGGTGATAGCCCAGCTACCAAGGGAACATTGCAAAGTCAGAGTGTCAGTTTGAGTGTGTATTGCACGATAGGAGGGGCAGTGTTGAGGAGTGCTATACCGTCATAAAGTCAGTACTGAGGGAATACTTGACTGTCATCGGGTCAGTACTGAGGAGGTGCTGCAAAGTTGAAGTTCCCAATACTTGGAGACATTTGAGCCATCAGACATTTGAGCCATCAGACATTGGCCTCATCTGTCCTCTGGTGAATATAAAAACACTAAAAAAGGCTATCCAGTCATTTATCTCATTACACCTTTTGGGATCTTACAATGCACAAATTGTCTGTTGTATTTCTGACTAGGCAACATTATTTACATTTAAAGGCTATTTATTGCTGCGAAGCATTCTAGAATATTCTGAGAATGTGACTGAGGATATAGGAATGCAAAATAATTTATTTTTTCTCTGTTTCTCCTGCGTGTGTTTCTCTATCCCTCACTATATTTCTGTCCCTCTCAGTCTCTGCCCCTCTTAGCGCCTCTGTCTCTTCCTCTCTGTCTTTATGTCTCTCCATCCCTCCCTCTACATCTCCATCCCTCTTTGACCCTGTCTCTCCTTCTGTCTCTATCCCTCTCTGTCCCTTTGCTTCTCCTTCTTTCTTTGTTACAAACAATAATACAGTGTATACAGCTGTAATAACCTGAGTGATGACTAATGGATCTGATTCTCTCTCCAGTGGCTACTACAGCGGCAGATTTAGAGGTGATGGGACCATTAGTTCCCATCATGGGGGTTGCTGGGGGCAACGTGGTCCTGGACTGTCTGTTGGTCATGACAAAACCCCTGGAGAATATGGAAGTCCGCTGGATCAACATGGCATATGGCTATAGCTTGCCTGTCCATGCATACATGGAGGGAGCGGACGATTTGACACTCCAGCCCTTGGCTTACAGAGGCCGGACCGAACTGTTTCTCGACAAAGTGGCACAGGGGAATCTCTCTCTCAGGCTCAAGGATGTCCGAGTCTCTGACAGGGGACAGTACAAGTGCTTCGTGGCATCTGGCATCGAGCACAATGAGTTCAAACTCACGCTGGATGTGACAGGTCAGTGACCATTTTGGAAATACCATACCTGACATCCTCAATGATGGATTTATTGAGGTGAAGGATAAACATTGACCCAGACCCTAGCAGAACACAAATAGTTTGAGACCCTGACAAGGTTGACACTGAAATAACAAGGTGCAGGGCTGGATGAACACAGCAGGCCAAGCAGCATCATAGGAGCAGAAAGGCTGACGTTTCGGGCCTAGACCCTTCATCAGAAAAGGGGGAGGGGAAGGGGGTTCTGACGAGAGAGTTGCAGTGGGAGAGAGATCCCCTGAGGTTTGACACTGAAGACTGTTTCTGTGACGGAGGATCTAGAACAAGGGCAAACAGTCTCAGGATAAGGGAACAGTCAATTAGCACTGAGACAGGGGAAGCTCTCCACTCATAATGTTGTGAATCTTTGCCTTACTGTCTAATTCCATTGACGAATTCCACTGAAGTGAGAGAAGACCATTCGCTCCCTCCAGGCTGCTCCACCCTTCAAGACATTTATTTTAATTTATAATTATGGCTGATCTTGAATTTCAAATCCAAATGCAAGATTTTCACCCCACACCACTGAATACCATGAACAAAATGATTTCTGAGTTGAGTGTTCACTGACTGAGCATCCACTGGGATAGTTGGCGTCTAGCTCACCCAGCCTGCGGAAACAACCTTTCCACGTCTTGCCTATTTTAAATCGGTGATAGATTAATTTTTCTATTGAGCAGGGGTATTAAGGGATATGATCCAAAGGTAGGTACATAGAGTTAGGCCACAAATCAGCCATGATCTCACTGAATACTGTAACAGGCTCAAGGGGCTGAATGGCCTACTCCTGTTCCTATCAAATCTCTTCAGAATGTTTTCTGTTTAGATTGAATTCACCTCTCACACTTCTAACCCCCAGAAAGTACGGGCCCAGTCTGCTCAATGCTCACAGGCAACCCTCTTGACTCAGAAACCAATCCCACGCAGTCCCTCTTGAGTAAATATTTCCATTCCCAGAGAGCTGAGAATGGCCAGTCATTGAATATATTTAAGAAAGAGATTAATATATCTTTGGAAGCTCAGTGAATATAAGGAACATGAAGATAGATTGGGAATGTGGAATCGAGGTGGAGAATCAGCGAAGATTGTATTAAGTAATGGGATTGAATGGTCCACTCCAGCTCTTTTCTCTGCATTAATTCCTTTGCTTCCCACAATTTATCTGTCAGAATAGAGTCATCAAGGTCTGCAGTACATAAATGGCCTTTGACCACTCAATAACAAGCCAGCTGCTATTTTAATCCTATTTTCCTGTATTTGGCCCAAGGCCTCCTTTGCTTTGGTGTCACAAATGCACATCTAAATTCTTCTTCAATGTTATGAGGATTCCTGCCTCTACTACCTTTATAGGCAGTGAGTTCTAGATCCCCACTCCCTCTGAATGAGACATTTTTCCTCATATCCCCTTGAAATCTCCTGCCCCTCACTTTAAATCTAGGTCCTCTGGTCATTGGTCCCTCCACCAAGGGAATGTACACCCTACCTATGCCCCTCATAATTTAAGACATCTCAATAATATCCCCAGTCTCCACTGCTCTGAAGAAAGCAACCGCAGTCCATCCAGTTATAAAACAAAGAACTGCAGATGTTGGAGATCTGAAACAAAAGTAGAAATTCTTGGAGAACTTCAGTAGATCTGGCATCATCCGTCGGAAGAAAGCAGTGTTACTGTTTCGAGTCCGGTGACTGTTCATCAGAACTGTTAGTAGTTAAGAAAAAGTGGGATTTATGCTGAAGCCAAAGATTGATGAAGGGGGCAGGGAGAAGTGAACAGACGAGTGGAGATGGAGCCCATGAGTGGGAGAGAGATAAAAAGTGTACATTATCAAGGAGATAATGGATAGAACTTGAGGACAGGAAAAAAAAGTGATAATTAGAGCTATGAGAGAGAAAATTGCTTAATGCAATGCATACATTTTGACAGTGGGTTTAGGAATAGGTGAGAATAGGTGACTATGTTAAAAGCAACCCATGTCAGAACAGGACCTAGTGTGCAGTGGGGGAAAAAAGGAGGAATGTAATTAGCCTCTAAGTTATCGAAATTGATATTCGTCCTGGAGGCTGCAAGGTTCTCAAATGGAAAATGAGGAGCTATTCTTTGACCTTGCGCTGAGGCTCACTGGAACAGTGCGGCAAGCCAATGACAGAAATGTTGACCAGGGGACACGGTGGTGTGTTGAAGGGGCAAGCTACTGGAAGTTCAAGGTCATTTTTATGGATAGGACATAGGTGTTCTGCAAAGCTGTTGCCCAGTCTGCTTTTTATCTCCCCAGTGTGGAGAACACCACATTGTGAACAGCAAATGCAGTAGACTAGATTGACTGAAGTGCAGGTAAATCGCTGCTTCACCGAAGGTATGTCGGACACTCTGAATAGGGAGGAGGGGGAGGTAAACAGGCAGGTAAACTGTGGGGAGGTATTGAGAATGGAGGAGAAGTGGACCAGAGAGTCATGGAGGGAACAGTCCTTGCAGAGCTTCCAATTTTCACCCTACCCTCACCTTCACCTGGTCCATCTCTGACTCCTTCTTTCCCTTCCTCGACATCTCTGTTTCCATTTTGGGATTAGGCTGGCCACCCACATTCTCTACAAACTCACCAACTTCCACAGTTACCATGACTATACAAACTCACACCCTACCTCCTCTAAGGACTCTGTCCCATTCCCCCAGTTTCTCCACCTCCATCGCATCTGTTCTGATGATGCCACCTTCTGCAGAGGCAGGGCAGCCTCAGAAATGTCCACCTTTTTCCTCAACTGAGGATTTCCCATACTAAGAGCAACAGGATGCTTAGCCATGTTTAACCCATCTTCTGCACTTCAAACCAGACCTCTTTTGTCTTCCCTCCCACAACAATGATAGGGTCACTGTAGTCCTCACTTACCACTTCACCAGCTTATGGATCCAAAGGATCTTTGCCACCATTTCCGCTATCTCCAGTGGAATGCAACCACTGGACACATATTCCCTTCTCTTACCTTGTCAGCCTTCCGCATGGACCATTCCCTCTGCACACACCAGTCTGCTCGTTCTTCACTCCCAACACTCTCCCACACCCCAAGGCATCTTCCCATGCAATTGCAGAAGATGTAACACCTGCCAATTTACCTCCTCCAGATCCAGGGCCCCAGACATACTTTCCAGGTGAAGCAGCGATTTACCTGCACTTCACTTAATCTAGTCTACTGCAATTGCTGTTCACTGTGTGGTCTCTTCTACACTGGGGAGATGAAACGCAGACTGGGTGAACGCTTTGCAGAACACATATGTTCTGTCTGCAAAAATGACCTTGAACTTCCAATTGCCTGCCACCTCAACACACCACCATGTTCCCTTGCCAATATGTCTGTCTCAGGTCTGCTCTAGTGTCGCAGTCAGCCTCAGCGCAAGCTCGAAGAATAGCATCTCATTTTTAGCTTCGGGACACTGCAGCCTCTAGGCATCAACATCAAGTTCAATAACTTTAGAGCCTCATTCCATCCTTCCATGTTTTTACCCATCCCATACCAGGTCCTGTTAAGACATGGATTGCTTTTAGTACAGTCACTTTTTCCCACATATTGCCAGGTCCATTATCACATTATCTCGATTGCTATCATACCACTCATCCATTTCCTCCTATCCTCAGCACCTGTTATCACTTATTCAGCTTTTCTTCTGTCCTGGCCTGCTATCTATAATCTCTTTGTTTACCTACCTCTTTCATATGTCTTGCTCTCTGGGCTCCAGCTCCACCAATCTGTGCACCTCCTACTTCCCCACTTCCAAGCCTGCCCCTGCACACCTCCCAACCACCGCCCCTCCCACCCCCCAAACTAAACTTTGTCTTCAGCGTAGATATTAGTTTTTCTGAACTGCTGTCAATTCTGCTGAAGAGTCATCAGACTGGAAGGGGTAATGATGCTTTCTTCCCATTGATTGTACCAGATCTGCTCAGTTGCTCCAGCAATTTCTGTTCTTTTTCCCAGTCTATCTAATTTCTCATCACAACCATAACTCTGCAGCCCAGGCAGTAAAATCTCCCCTGCACCCTCTCCAGTGTAATCACATCCCTGCTATAATGTGAATTCCAGAACTGCGCACAAAATTTTCTCATAGTCATTTGAATCTGGGGAATACAATTCCACAGACTAAATGGTCCTCTGGAAGAAAACATTTTTGCTCATCACTGCCTTAACGGCAAGACCTCGTTATCTCAAATAAAAGCAAAGCTTTGTGGTCAGTTAAATATTATTGTAATGTTTATGAACTTTAAAATGTCCTATTTTTAGCATTTTTTATATGGGGCCACTTTGAAGGTCCAGAAGCCATTGCCATCCAAACTTGCCTGGTGAATAATTTGATTATGGGTCATTCCTGTCTGGATTGTCCCTCTCTCATCTCTCCGAGTTTCTTCTGCCCTCCCCCCAACACGTTGCCCTGACAGATTGTGATCGAACCCTGGTTGCCTTCCAGAAAGTACAGGTCAGCTGCGATCAGACTGAGTGGTGTAGGGAGGCCATAACAGGCTTTGCGGCCTACTCCCCTTCCTGATGTCTCTGTGATTGCAGGTACAGGCCGCCAGCCCAGGATTGAGATGGAGGGCCAAACGGGGGATGGCATCAGACTGGGCTGCAGATCCGAAGGGTGGTACCCAGAGCCACCCATCCTGTGGACGGACGGAGACGGAGAGAACATAGCAGCCCAGCAGCAAACCACGTACCAGCCGGACACTCAGGAACTGCTCACGGTCAGCAGCTTCATCGAGATCCCCAAGCAGTCCACCAACAAGTACACTTGTATCATTAATAACATGATCCTGGAGGAGAAACAGGAGGCTCACATCCAGATCGCAGGTCGGTCATACTGGGAGAAGACCTTTACAGATACACAATAAACTGGGGGAAAGGACGTGAATCTGATTGTAGGGAAATATATAAAATCCTGAGGAAACTCTGTGATTGAAACTGGCTCCTTGCGATCCTGCTCAGAGACAACTGTCAAAAATAAGCCCCTTATGGCTATGGCTTGCCCTTCGTGGCAACTAAATGCATTTCGCTGGGATGGAGATTGGGGAAGATTGAGAGGCTGCGATGGAGGGAGGAGGAGAGGGTGTGATGGAGGGAGAAGGAGCAGGTTTGATGGAAGGAGAAGGAGAAGGTGTGGTGGAGGGAGCAGGACAGCATGTAATGCAAGACAACAAGGTGCAGGGCTGGATGAACACAACACAGCATGTAATGCAGACTGGAGGGAGGGAGTGAAAGAGATGGAAGTGGGGCAGGAGTGGGTTGGTTTGAGTTTGCAAAAAGGGAGTGAGGTGATGATCAGAGAGTGGGTGATGAGGGAGAGGGAGATAGTGGAATGGAGGTTGGAAGACTGAGGTGGCTAATGGAGGAAGAAGGGCTGATGGAGGGAGAGGGGTGATTGAACCTAGGTACATGGTGTGACGATAGGTTTGTGTTAACTCAAAAAACTGAATGGTTCATTTTCTCACTCTTCTCACTCTCCCCTTTCTCTCTTCTCTGCCACCTCTGTCTCCCTTTGTATCCTCTATTCTCACTCTCCCTCTTTTCTTTTCTCTCAATACTCTTTCTCTCTGCTCCTTTGCTCCATCTTCCCCTCCCTCTGCTCTTCCATCTCTCTTTCTCCCTCCTCCCCCTCTCCCTCTTCCCCACCACCCTCACCTCCTCGCTCTTGCTATTTCTCACTTCTCTCTCCCTCTCTCTCTCTCCCTCCTCTCCCTTCCTTTCTCCCCTCTCCCTCTCTCTCCATACAGATTCCTTCTTCCCCCATGTTTCCGGATGGCTGATAGCATTCTGGATCCTGTTTGCTCTGATTATTGCAGCAGTCACTCTTGCAGTGTGGTACCTTCGGAAATTACAGAATGAGATTCAAGGTGACAACCTTTGCACAAGCTCGAAGAACATTTTTCGAGAATTGACTATAAACAGAACCTTATTATTTGTTAACAGAAAATAAAACAGACAGACCTGGAAATACTCCGCACATCAGGCATAATCTGTGGAGAGAGACAGAGTTAGTGTTTCAGGGGGAATAAGAGTTTATTTTTTGTGAACTGTGTAATGAACAGTGTAATAAGAAACCGGTTCATTACAGTCTGACACTGACAGTATCTCCTAAAGTCATGGTGCCCATTGGATTCATTAATTTTTTTGTTTTTCTTTTCCAGGCCTCAGGAAATCTGAAGATAATCTCGGTAAGTGACGTTTCTTCAGTCGTGGGCCATGTGCTGATTTTACACTGATTTTTGCCGTTGAGAAATTTCACACTCTCACCCTGACCATTACAGTTTCTGTTCTGAGAGGAGCCAAACCTCTTCTATATATCACTAATCTCAACAGTCACCAGGAGGGTCGCTCTGTTTGTTTCTGCTGTAGTATTCTGTGAGTGTATCTCTTTCCTTCAGCCACCCCCTCCCCACTAGACTCTCTATCTCATTCTGATTCTTCCTCTTGTGATGGTACTGTGCCTTTAAGATAGATATGTTCTGTCCTGTCTCTTTTTGCAGTCTTGTTGTCACAGTGGTGCCATAATGTCTCCTTCACACAGGAAGTTGCTAAACTGCATTTGAGTTCTCCCTGGGTGTTTGTTTTGAAGAATGGATGGGATCAGGACTCACGTAGACCCAGGAAGTTTTTTAGTTTTGCTTTCATTTAATGAAATGGTTTTAGCAGGCTGCTGAGCTAAAGGCTTGAGTTCTCTGCTGCTAGAGTGACGTCTTAGACAGTGAGGCTTTCTCTTAGAAATCAAAAGAGACAGATTATTTCTTTCTTCTGGACTAGAAAGAGACTGCACCTGAGAATCAGAACTGTATTGCTGAATTGATTTTTTGCCAAAGCGTGTGTTTGTGGGATGCTATGTTGGAACAGTTGATGATTAGTGGCTAAATCATACATTGTCTTGTTAAGTATTTCAATAGAGCTAAAGTTATTCCAATTCTTTTTTTTGTTGTATTTTAACTGTGTTATAAGAAGAAAGTGTGTCTTGGTTAAAGCCTAGTAATGGACCAATCGAATCACATCTGGAATGCAGCACCTTTCACTCGCTGTAAAATAATTATAAAAGTTAGTGTCTCTTTACAATACTTTGAATAGGGGTGGGGAGTCTGGTCTGGTCTGGTCCATAACACTCTCTCTCAAATCTCTCTCCTTTCTCCCCTGTTTCTTTCCACTCTCACCTTCTCTCTTTCCCCCCTCCCTCTTCCTTCCATCTTTGCTCTCTCTCCCCAACTCTTTCCCCGCATCTCTGTCCTGCTCTCTCTCTTCTATCTCACCCCTTTCTTTCACCTCTCATTCCCACACTCTCCCCATTCTTTCTCCCCTCTCTTTCTTCCCCCTCCTCTCTTTCTCTTCCTCCTCCCCTGTCTCTCTTTCCCCTTCCTATCTCTCTTCGCCTTCACCCTCTTCTCCCTAACCTTTCTCTAACCTGTCTCTCTCATCTCTCTCATCCTCACACAATAGTCTCTCTCTCTCTACCCCCAAAGCACCCCCCTCCACCAACTCCCTCCACACCGTGCTCTTCTCAACATATCTTTCTTCCAATTCCAATTGTACAGATCCTCTCCTCCTCCTCCTCCTCCTCCTCTCCCCTCTCTGAACCTTCTTTTAAGACTCCTTTTATAGTCAGTGAGAGTAGGCAATGTGATTTGGCTGCTCTGGGAATGGGACACGGGTCAATGTAAGGGGTAAAGGGCTGCTGCTGATTTAATGTTTTCTTTTGACCTGTTACAGAATGTCAAAGGCTGCTGGATGTAACTGGTGAGTAACCCTTAGTAACCCAGAGCTAGATGTGACGGGAAGGGAAATCCAACGATGTGGAAATGTATCAGAGAGAAACATTTGTGAAACAGTAATACCGAGTCTAGTGATATAATGGATAACAAATAGATTGTTTGAGTCATTCAGCATGGAGATAGACCCTTCGGTCCAACACTTCCACGCCGACCAAGTCTCCCAAACCAAACTCGTCCCTTTTACCTGCATTTGGCCCATATCCCTCTAACCTTTCCCTATTGATGTAATTAGTCCAAGGCATCACAGAGTTGAAAGCAAGGCTTGAAATTATTTCTTCTTCATGGAATTTTTACAACGCTATTGAAAGAGTCCAGAAATGTTCTTCGGAAAGAAATTAAATAGTTACCTGGAACAGAAGAATATTGATGCATAGGTTGAAGGTTTTCATGCATAAATAATAGGAAAAATTTGCATTTCTGTAGCACCTTTCACATTCTGAGGATGTCCCAATACACTTTATCAAAAATGATGTACAGAACAAAATAAGAATTAAGAGCAAGAGTCGGCCACTTGGCTTGAGCTATTCCACTGTTCAGTCTGATCATGATGGATCTACTTCCCTGCACTATCTCCCGTAAAGACTCTACCATTTTATTTTCTGTAATTTGGATTGCTGAGGTAAAGAATTCAGAAGGTTCACAACATGCTGAGTGAAGAAATTTCTCCTCATCACAGACCTGAATGGTTTCAGAACTGCCAGTGAGTTGGAACTGAGAACCTGAAGTCGCAGAATACTGTCAATACAGTGTACAGGAGATAGCAAGAACTGCAGATGCTGGAGTCAGAGTCAATACAGTGTGGAGTTGGAGGAACACAGCAGGTCAGGCAGAATCAGAACAGTCTGTAAATTGGGATAATCAGTTTCTCTCCAGCGAATCTTCAAATTAGCACACACTCCTCCTCCCTGTAATTGAGCAAAAAAAAAACATTTTTTATCGGGGCAAGTGTTTGTGTTCCAGTTGTTTTCACAATCAATACTCTTCACAGTTCTACAATGAGCCAAGTAAACTAATATCTGCTGTATTTCAGTATATTCTGATTATTTCTAACCTTCTGACATTCTGATGTGAGGAATACAAACCTCACTGTAGCGGAGGAACAATGCATTCCTTACCACACAGTTTCGTCTACTTCAACACTCTCTGACTGGGCTCCCACATTCTAACTTGGAAACTTTAGGTCACCTGACACGCTGCTGCCTGTGTCTTCACTCACCCCAAGCCCCACTCACCTGCTTGCTGACCTACATTGTTAAACAATGTCTCCATTCTTAATTTCTTATCCAGGTTTTCCAGTCCCTTCATGTCCTTACCCTCACTACTCTGTAACTCCTCCAGACCCTCAACTCTCCAAGATGTCTATGCTCTTCTAATTCTGACCTCTTGCACACCCCAATTACAATTGCTCCTTCATTTGGAGATGCAGTGTCAGGTGACACAGTTCCAGGTCCCCCACCCCATCTCACTTTGCTCCTTCAAAACACTCCTTAAAAACCTACCTCTTTGAAAAAGCTTTTGGTCACCTGACCTAACATCTCAATGTGTAGCACAATTGTATTTTTATTCATAACATTTATATGAAGGATTTTGAGATTTTTAACAGAAAAACAGGCATTCCATAAATATGAGTTGCTGTTGTGTAATATAGATGCAGGTGAGAAATGCCAAACTGGATGCGTGAGAACATAACAAATAGGAGCAGGATTAGACCATATGTGGCCCATCAAGCCTACTTCACCATTTAATAACGTCATGGCTGATCTCTTCATGGATGCCGCTCCACTTACCTGCCCGATCACCATAACCCTTAATTCGTTTACTGTTTAAAAATCTATCTTTGCTTTAAAAACATTCAGCAAAGTAGCCTCAACTGCTTCATTCAGGAGGGAATTCCACAGATTTACAACCATTTGGGTGAAGAAGTTCCTCCTGAACTCAGTCCTAAATCTGCTCCCCCTTATTTTGAGCTATGCCTCCTACTTCTAGTTTCACCTTCCAGTCAAACAACTTCCCTGCTTCTGTCTTATCTATTCCCTTCAAAATGGATTGGTGTATAACCAAGTTTTTAAAAAAATTATCTTCTAAACTGCATTCCCCTTCAAAAACAACTTTCTGATCCAGTAATGTTTGGTTTCTCGGTGACATTTCTGGTATAATTAATGTTAGATTTGAATTGCCTTGTTCCCCATATGACAAATTTCACTCTTGTCTATTTTTCTCTTTAGAATGTGAGAAACTTCAGCAGAAGTTAGGTAAGACATTATTTCCAAAACTTTCTCACTCTGGGATTGGAATTTCATCTCATGTTCATCACTGGTTTCTTCACCAGCATGGTCCTGAAAATCTAAAGAAACCAGGAAGGATTGTCTTGAATTTGTTTCTGAAGCTTTCAGCCTGAAGGATGCTTTAAAAGAAAATGTCTTCATTCATTTTAGAAAACATTGGTATGAAAGCAAAATTCGTTAATGAAGTGAAGTCTGTTGAGTGAGATTTATTCATACCTTTCCAATTCTCTGTTTCCTTTTAGAACAATGGAGACCTCTGGTCCAGTCAGGTATGTTATGTGTGTGAACACAAAATGTAAAGGATCTTCACCTATCAGCTTTTGTGTCTTTTTTGATGTTTGCCCATGGTGATATTGGGCCAAATGGAACAGGAGGGTATGAAGATCAATGATACATTACTCTCTACCTTTACTTAATCCATGTGTATGTGTGTTTCTCTGGCACATTGTCAAGGTCTAGCCAGTAGCACCCAATTGTGGGTCACCCTCAAGTCCTTGGCTCAGTGCAAATCGCAATGTACTTTTATTGCTTTCCTATTTGAGAGTATTACAGATGATTAATTCTTTTTATGTTATCTTTGCAGAGTGGAACAGGATACAGAGCTATGCAGGTAAAATTCTCAGTGTAGCAGACTCTGGGTGTCTATATCTGTGCAGTAGCGCACGGGGAGGCTGTATGTCTACATCACCCCATTCTGGCTGATGGGGAAACTCTCCCACGCTTACCAACTGTTATTCACATATCAGAAGGATTTACAGATTGCTTATCAATTTATTTGGTGACGCTATGACAGAAATTCCATTGACACAAGTTGTGAAGTGGAACTTGAACCTGAAGTCTCTGGCCAAGAAACAGCGAGGCTACTCATTATATCACACCACCTCCTCATGGTTTTAAGACAATTTGACAGTTCTACAGAGATAGTAAGTCAAGGAGGTAGGGGTGAGAGGGAGGGTTGACCACATCAGACAGATGTTCACCTGCACATCTGCTAATGTGGTCTACTGCATCCGCTGCTCCCGATGTGGCCTTCTCTACATCAGTGAGACCAAGCAGAGGCTCGGAGACTGCTTTGTAGAGCACCTGTGCTCTGTTCGTGACAAACAACAACACCTTCCAGTCGCGAACCACTTCAACTCCCCATCCCACTCCCTGGATGACATGTCCACCTTGGGCCTCCTCCAGTGTCACAATGATGCCCACCCGGAAATTGGAGGAGCAGCACCTCATATTCCGCCTTGGAAGCCTACAACCCAATGGTCTCAATGTGGACTTTTCTAGTTTCAAAATCTCCCCACCCCCGGCCTCATCCCGTGACCAGCCCTCCCTCTCATCCCCACCTCCATGACCTGACACAACCTGTCCATCTTCTCTCCCACCTATTTGCTCCTCCCACCTCACTGACCAATCCCCACCTCTGCCTACCTACACTCACCTATCACCATCCTACCTACGTTCCCCAGCCCCACCCCTCCTCTCTCTAATTATTTCAGAGCTCCCTTCCCCCTCCTGCATTTCTGAAGAAGGGTCCTGACCAGAAAAGTCAGCTTTCCTGCTCCTCTGATGCTGCCTGGCCTGCTGTGTTGACAGCTCTATAGTCACTTTTGCTGACATCACATCTTTATTCCACTGATTTTCTTTTAAATTATTTCTCAGACTATGCTGGTGGAATTGGAATTTACTTTCTCTGGGCTTTGAGTTCATCAACATGGGGAAGCAATGCACAAACAATTAATCTAGGGAACGATGTAATGATCTGGGGACCAGTGTTCAAATCCCTCCATGGTAGATCATTGAATTTGGAGTCAGTTAAAAATCTGGAACTAAGAATGTAATAATGACCATGAAGCTGATGCCGATTGTCAGGAAAAAAAGCCATCTGGTTCACTGCTGCCCTTGAAGGAAGGAAACTGCCATCTTTACCTTGTGTGTGGCCTAGATGTGACTCCAGACTCACAGCAATGTGGTTGACTCTTAACTGCCACCTGGGCAATGAGGGACAGGCAATAAATTCTGGCCTGGCCAGTCACACCCTCATTCCATGAATTAATGTAAAAAGAATCACTACTGACTTGTAAAAAGTGACACATTTTATAAAGCATTGGAGGAAGGTGCTAATCTCTTCAGCTATCTCTGGCATGGAGATGCAGCAAGAACTGTCAATCTTTGTTCTCATATCCTGGTTATTCAGGGAGATGCCATGAAAATGCAGCAAGGAATATTTACCCCTCTCATCCTGCACTCCACCAAACTGCTCCCTGCACTTGCTTCTCTCTTTAAAGCACTGAAACTCCCTCTCCCCTACCCACTCTTTCTTCCACCCATCCCCATTCTCCCGACTCCCACACTTCCTTCTCCCTCCCCTTCCTGACCTCATACCCCACTGCCCCTTCTTGTCTCTCTCGCCCCCTCCCTGTTTTCCTTGAATTGAATTGAATTGGCCCTATTGTCACCTACTCAAATGAGTAAAGTGAAAAGTCTAAGGTAACATTTCGGGTCGATTCAGTTCTGAGCAGGACCCGAAATGTGAACTCTGACTTCTCTCCACAGATGCTGCCAGACCACCTGAGCTTTTCCAGCAATTTCTGTTTATAACAGTGAAAAGTGTATACGTTGTCACTTACAGTACCATCTTAGATGCAATCCTAACTTACAGAACAGAGGAATGAAGAAAAGTTACATTACAGCTATACAAAGTATAACCATAGGTCAGAAAAACAAGAAGCAAAGTTAATAAGACAAATATCCCAGTCAGTCCCTAAAGTCTCTCAGCAGCAGACCAGCGCTGGGGTTGCCTCCACCTAGTGTGACCACCTGCTGACCCTGTTCTCGCACCGGGCCACTACAGTCCCTACTCCTTCATTCCCCTTGGTTCCCCTCTCCCTCCCTCCCTCTCACTGACGGTGTCATTTGATCTCTCCCCCAGCTCCAGCCTCTCTGACTCTGGATCCGAACACAGCGCATCCCCGGCTCATCCTGTCTGAGGACCGGACCAGTGTGAGCCTCGGAGACACAAAACAGCCGCTCTCTGACTCCCCGGAGAGATTTGATTCCTGTCCCTGTGTCCTGGGATCAGAGGGATTCACATCAGGGAGACATTACTGGGAGGTGGAGGTGGGGGAGAAGACTCTGTGGATTCTGGGAGTGGCCCGGGAGTCTGTGAAGAGGAAAGGGTGGATCAACGCGGTGGAGGAGACCGGATTCTGGATTGTGGGGCTGAGGCCCCGAAAAGGTTATTTTGCCTCCATCTCCCTCTCATGGACCGCCCTCTTCCCGAGTGTGAATCCCCGGGAGATCGGGGTTTTCCTGGACTATGAGGGTGGACAGGTGTCATTTTACAATGCGGACACCATGTCCCATCTCCACACTTTCACCCACACTTTCACTGAGAGGATCTTTCCCTTCTTCAATCCGGGATGGAACAACGACAGAAAAAACTCCGCCCCGCTGACAATCTGCGGGATTAAAGGGCACTGATAGATCCATCCCATAATTTCACCCGGTTCCCCCTGCCTCCTGCCAGCTGTAAACTGCTGGGTGTCGGTCTCAGTCACAGGGGGAGAGAGAGGCCAAGTTAACATTCCGGGAATAAACCATGTATCGGAACTGGGAACTGAAAGATCAGCAAGGAGCTCTGTAGGGCTGGGGGACAGAAGGAGGGAGAGTGAAATAAACAAATAGAAGCTCAATTGTCAAGAGCAACTTGCTGGGTAGAATGAGCTGTGAGCTGCAGGGACCCGGGGACCTTCTGTCTGTAATGTTGCTCCACAGTCGGGAGGTGGCGTTATATCTTTATTCTAACAAAAAAAATCGAAGATTCACTGGAACAAATGCAAAATTTCTTAAAAATAAATAAATCCAAGAAACAATAAGTAAACTTCCTGTTTGTTTTATTTGCAAATTTCTCCAGAGTTTGTATCCTTGCACCTGCTATTCCAAACTCACCTGGATTATTTGAAGAATCTCTAGTTGGGGCCACTGGAGTGTTAGTTGCCTGGAAATGATCGCAAATTTTCTCTGGAACTTCAGTCATTACCATGTCGAGATGTTCATGAGGTGGCCAGCGGGAAGGTCTGCCTATTTCAACATTTGAGGCTTTAGAGAGACTTGGATGAGGTTATTCGGCTGGCTCCAATCCAATGCCTGTGTCCCTGCATCCCTGCAATTTCTTTGCTCATCCAATTTAAATTAAAAGTTAGGTGTCAGAAGATTGTAATGTTGTAATTTTGTAAATTTCTAGATGTTTCAGTTTGTTCAAAAAAGAAGTGGCAATGTAAATCGAGCAGCAACAGCCCAGTGTAATCAACCTCAGTCTTGGGAACTTTTAAGAATAACCTTTGACAGATTAGACAAATGTTGTTTAATTAAGGAAAGCCAGTATGGGTTTATTAGAAGCAAATCACATTTAACTAAATAGATTGAGCTTTCTAATGAAGACTCAGTTAGGATCGAGATGGGAACGTATTTCTGGACTTGAAAAGGAATTTGACAAATTGTCACCTTAAAGAATTAGAAAGTAGAAGCCTATGGAATGAAATGACTGTGACAATATAAAAATGATTTCTTCATTGTTTTGGCAAAGGATCACTCGACCCAAAATATTAACTCTGTTACTCTCCCAACAGCTGCTGACAGACCTGTTGAGCTTTTCCAGCAATCTCTGTATTTGTTTAGGGATTCCAGCCTCTACAGTTCTTTTTTCTTTGAAGGTGAACTCATCTGGTGACAGTGAATGAGCATTTTTCAGAAAAGCATCAGTTTGGCAGTGATGTTTCCTGTGGTAAGTTCCAAGAGCAGTGATTTTCTGGTATATACTAATGACTTGAGAGTGGGTATACAGCCCTGAATTTTGAATGATACAGATGCCATCAAAGTCAGCATTGTTTAAGCAGCTAAGTGCTCAATGGTAGATATCTAGAGGGCAGCGACTTGCTCATGGAATGAACTGACATGTTACAAGTGTAATTTATGTGAAGTGGTACATATTGGTTTTAAGCTCTTTATCTTTGTGTCCCGTCATCAATGATTTGCACACATGTTCATACAAACCTCTCTGTTCCTCCACTTGCTTTAGAATTTACCCTTTTGTTTGTATTGTTCATACTGCCCTTCTTTTTAAATTGAATAAATGCACCAAAGGAACAAAACTATTAAAAAATTCCATAAAACATTGCTTGACCTCCACTGGAGAACTTTATCCAATTCTGGGCATGGCTCTTTGAGAAGGATGTGAATGGTGCATTGAATAGTTTTGAGAATGCAACACTTTGTTTGGAAGATAGATTGGAGAGGTAAGTTATTCTCCTGAAGATAAAGAAAATTTTGAGCAGGTTTACAGGATTTGATCAAAACTATCAGGTGTCTTGAAAGAATGGAGAAAGAATGATGCTGTTTGTTTTGACAGAATTATCCATAACAAGAACAGATGGGCTTGAAGTGATTGGCAAATTAATCAAAGGATTAATTGAAGGATGTGGAAACTTTGGAGACAGTGCAGAGAAGGTTCACCAGAATGTTGCCCGGTCTCGAGGGCATTGGCAATGAGGAAAAGTTAAAAAGATTAGGATTGTTTTCATTGGAAAGATGGTGGTTGAGCGGAGACCTGATAGAGGTCTATAAAATTATGAGAGGTATAGATAGGGTGGATAGTCAAGAGGCTTTTTCCCAGGGTTGAAGTTTCAATCACAAGAGGGCAGAGGTTCAAGGTGGAGAGGGAAAGTTTTAAGGGAGATGTGCGAGGAAAGTTTTTCATGCAGAGAGTAGTAGGAGCCTGGAATGCACCGCCAGAGGAGGTGGTGGAAGCAGGCACATTGGTGACATTGAACAGGCATCTGGATGGTTACATGAATAGGGAGGGGATAGAGGGATATGGACCAATAAGGGCAGAAGGTTTGCTTTTTAGTTTAGCCAGGGCATGACAATTGGCACAGGCTTCGGGAGGGCCGAAGGGCCTGTTCCTGCAACGTACCTGTCTTTTGCTCTATTTTGTTCTTTGTAAAACATTTATTTATGTGAGCCACTGGGATCTGGAATCCACTACCTGAGAATTTGGTGGAAGGTGATCTAATCAGGGCTGTCTATCTAGAACATAGAACATAGAACATTGAACAGTACAGCACAGTACAGGCCCTTCGGCCCACGATGTTGTGTCGAACTTTTACCCTAATCCTAAGGTGTATCTAACCTCCACCCCTACCTTATACTAACATCCATATGTCTATCTAATAGCCGCTTAAATGTCCCTAATGAGGCCGACTCCACTACACTCTCCGGCAATGCATTCCACGTCCCGATCACTCTCTGAGTAAAGAACCTACCTCTGACATCTTCCCTATATCTACCTCCACTCACTTTAAAACTATGCCCCCTCGTAATAGCTGCCTCCACCCCAGGAAAAAGTCTCTGGCTGTCTACTCTATCTATACCTTTGATCATTTTGTACACCTCTATCAAGTCACCTCTCATCCTTCGTCATTCTAAAGAGTAAAGCCCTAGCTCTCTCAACCATTCCTCGTAAGACCTTCCCTCCATTCCAGGCAACATCCTGGTAAATCTCCTCTGCACCTTTTCCAACAGTTCCATATCTTTCCTGTAATGAGGTGACCAGAACTGGACACAATACACCAGGCTTTTGTATAGCTGGAGCATAACTTCACGGCTCTTGAACTCAATCCCTCTATTAATGAAAGCTAACACACCCTACACCTTCTTCACAATTCTATCGATCTGGGTGCCAGCTTTCAGGGAACTGTGGACATGAACCCCAAGATCCCTCTGTTCCTCCACACTGCCAAGAATCTTTCCGTTAATCCTGTATTCTGCTTTCAAGTTTGTCCTTCCAAAATGAATCACCTCACACTTTTCAGGGTTAAACTCCATCTGCCACTTCTCAGCCCAGCTCTGCATCCTATCAGTGTCCCTTTGTAACCTAGAACAGCCCTCCGCACTGTCCACAATGCGACCCACCTTCGTATCGTTCGCGAACTTACTAATCCACCTTTCCACTCCTTCATCCAAATCATTTACAAAAATCACAAATGGAAGAGGACCGAGAACAGATCTTTGTGGTACACCACTCGTAACTGAGCACCATGTTGAATATTTTCCATCCACGACTACCCTTTGTCTTCCAAGGGTCAGCCAATTCTGAATCCAATCTGCCACATTTCCCGCTATCCCATGCCTCCTTATCTTCTGCATGAGCCTACCATGGGGAACTTTATCAAACGCCTTACTTAAATCCATGTATGCCACATCCACTGTTCTACCTTCATCCAACCGTTTGATCGCCTCTTCAAAGAATTCACTAAGGCTTGTGAGGCATGATCTACCCCTCACAAATCCATGCTGACTATCACGAATCAAACTGTGCCTTTCCAAGTCATCATAAATCCTATCTCTCAGAGCCCTTTCCAATAATTTGCCCACCACTGACGTAAGACTAACTGGCCTGTAATTTCCGAGGTTATCCCTATTCCCTTTTTTGAACAAGGGAATGACGTTTGCCTCTCTCCAATCTTCTGGCACTGTACCCGTGGACAGTGAGGATGAAAAGATCATTGCCAAAGGCCCTGCAATCTCTTCCCTTGCTTCCCATAGAACCCTTGGATAAATCCCATCAGGCCTGGGGGACTTATCTATTTTCAATTTCCTCAAAATTCCTAGCACATCTTCCTTACGAACATCCACCTCCTCTAGCCTACCAGCCTGTTTCACGCTGTCCTCCTCTACAACTAGGTCCCTCTCAGTTGTGAATACCGAAGAAGAGTATTCATTAAGGACCTCTCCTATCTCTTTAGGCTCCGTGCAGAAATTCCCTTTACAATCCTTGATCGGCCCTACGCTTTCTCTGGTCATTCTCTTATTCCTCACGTACATGTAAAAAGCCTTGGAGTTTTCCTTGATCCTATCATGACCCCTTATAGCTCTCCTAAGCCCTTTCTTCAGCTCCTTCCTGGATAACTTATATCCCCCTAGAGCCTTTTCCGTTCCATGTTTCCTAAACCTTACATAAGCATCCTTCTTCCTCTTAACTAATTGTTCGACTTCTCTTGAGAACCAAGGCTCCCTCACTCGACCGCATCTTTCCTGCATGCTAAGGACAAACATATCGATCACACGCAGTATGCATTCCTTAAACAATCTCCACATTTCCATCGTGCTCTTCCCTGACAGCATCTGTTCCCATTTTATGTTACCCAGTTCTTGCCTAACAGAATTGTAATTACCCTTCCCCCAATTATAAACTTTACCCCGCTGTAAGTACCTATCTTTTTCCATGAATGTTGTAAAAGTAACAGAGTTATGATCGCTACCGCCATAATGCTCTCCTACCAACAGGTCTAACACTTGGCCCAATTCATTGCCAAGCACCAAATCCAAAGTGGTCTGTCCTCGTGTTGGTCTATCTACACACTGTGTCAGGAATCCTTCCTGAACGCACTGGACAAAATCTGCTTCATCTAAACTATTACAACTAAAATGTTTCCAATCAATATCTGGAAAGTTGAAGTCACCCATGACTACAACATTGTGACTTCTGCACCTTTCCAGTATCTGCCTCCCAATCCGCTCCTCTACTTCTCTGCAACTATTAGGGGGTCTGTAAAAAACCCCAACAAAGTGATTGCTCCTTTCTTGTTCCGGACCTGAACCCAAACTGACTGTGTAGACATATCATTCTCGAACTGCCTTTCAGTCGCTGCTATACTAGCCCTGACTAGCAATGCCACTGTCCCGCCTCTTTTACCACCCTCCCTATTTCTTTTAAAGCATCTAAATCCCGGAACTTCCAGCATCCATTCCTGTCCCTGAGTTATCCAAGTTTCTGTAATTGCCACAACATCGTAGTTCCAAGTACTGACCCATGCTCTAAGTTCATCCGCCTTATTTCTGATACTTCTAGCATTGAAGTATACACACTTCAAATCATCTCGCCCCATTGACCGCATTTCTTTATAAACAACCTCACTCCCTGTTGTGTCTGTTGGAAGGCTGAATACCTCATCCTCTGAATTACAAATCCGGTTCCCCACCCCCTGGCAATCTCGTTTAAACCATCCCGTACAGCTCGAGCAAACCCCCCTCCCAGAAAATTTGTGCCCTTAGAGTTCAGGTGCAACCCGTCCTTACTGTACAGGTCCACCTTCCCCAGAATGTGCTCCAATTATCCACATAATGGAAGCCCTCCCTCCTACACCAGCCCTGTAGCCACGTGTTTAGCTGCACTCTCTCCCTATTTCTTACCTCGTTATCACGTGGCACTGCTAGTAATCCAGAGATAGCTGCCCTGCTTGTCCTGGACTTTAGCTTCCAACCTCACTCCCTGTACTCATTTTTTCACATTCTCTGTCCTTTTTCTACCTATGTCATTGGTACCGATGTGTACCATGACTGCTGGTTGCTCACTGTCCCCCTTAAGGATCTTGAAGACACGATCCGAGACATCACGGACCCTGGCACGCGGAAGGCAGCATACCATCTGTTCATCTTGTTCGCAACCACAGAACCACCTGTCTGTGCCTCTTACTATTGAATCCCCCAATACAATTGCTCTCCTTTTCTCCCCCCTTCCCTTCTGTGCCACAGGGCCAGGCTCAGTGCCAGAGACCTGTCCGCTATGGCCTTCCCCTCATAGGTCCCCCCTCCCAACAGTATTCAAAACGGTATACTTATTATTGAGGGGAACGGCCACAGGGGATCCCTGCACTGTCTGCCTATTCCCTTGCCCCTTCCTGACAGTCACCCAGCTACCTTTTTCCTGTACCTTGGGTGTGACCACCTCCTTATAACTCCTCTCTATCACCCCCTCAGCCTCCTGAATGATCCGGAGTTCATCTAGCTCCAGCTCCAGTTCCCTAACACGGTTTTTGAGGAGCTCAAGTTTGGTGCACTTCTCGCAGGTGAAGAAACAATCACAGTAAAATGGGAATGAAAATATTAATAATTATGTCAACATGACATTAGACAGAGACATGCTATTGAGATTCAGCATGAGAGGAATGGAAGAACATTACTGGAGAGCTATAATCAATATTCTACATACCAGAATGTTAATAAAGAGTTTACAGGGTTCACTGAGAGGCAGACAATAGGTGCTCATAGAGAAGGTAAAGACAGAAATGCATTATGTTCAAAGCAGGAATAGTCTAGCTCAGTTAAAGCAGCATCTAAAGGGCAGTGCAGACACCCAATTTCCAGGCTTCATGGCGTCCAAGTCCATGAGGGTAGCAGAAAGCAAAATGATCTGCCAGGCAAAAGACATGGCAACGGGTCTGGGTGAATTGCTCCTCTAATGTGTCAAGACAAACACGATCGGCTAAAAGGCCTCTTTCTCTATTGACCATTCTACATTTCAATGAAATCATGAGCAGTTTTGGGCGCTTTACCTAAGGAAGGATGTGCTGACCTTGGAGGATGTCCAGAGGAGCTTTACAATAATAATCCTTGTGATGAAGGGATTGTCATATGAGGAGGGTCAAGGACACTGGGTCTGTACTTGATGGAGTTTAGACAAATGAAAGGGTGTCTGATTGAAATTTAGAGAATACTGAGAGGCCTGGATAGAGTGGATGCAGGGAAGATGGGGGCCCATAGGCCCAGCCTCAGTGAAGGGACGACCCTTCAGAACTGAGATGAGGAAGAATTTCTTCAGCCAGACAGTGCTTAATCTGTGGAACTCGTTGCAGCAGAAGGCTGTGGAGATCAAGTCATTGAGTGTTTTTAGGATAGAGATAAATAGGTTCTTGATTAGTAAACAGATCGAAGGTGACAGAGAGAAGGAGAGAGACTAGGATTGTGTAACTACGAGGCATGATTGAATGGCGGAGCAGATGGCCTAATTCTGCTCCTATATCTTACAGCCTTGCAGCCATTTGTGTGGCATGAATGTTACTTGTCACTTGTCAGCACTAGCCTGGATATTATTCAGATCTCATTCCATTTGATGCTGGACTTCTTCAGTATCAGCGAATGGTGCTGAATATTACAAAATTATCAATGAACGTCCCCATTTCAGATCTTATGATGGAATGAAGGTCATTGATGAGGCAGCTGAAGGTGGTTGGGCCTAGGACACTATCCTGAGGTAGTCATGTAGAGATGTCCAGGAGCTGAGATGAGTGAGATTGTGTGATCCAGAATACAACCATTGGACTGCTCCATGCCTCTGGTTGACTATTCCTCTAATTTGAACCCTAGAACAATGGTGTCTGTCAATAAGATAATGATATCTGCCATTTATAGGTGTCCAGTGGACAGTTAGATGTTCTGATTTTATTCCACTTAAAAGGCACAAATCAGGTTGATGGGACAATCACTGCTTGCCTGAATCAATGCAACTCCCAGAACACTAAAAAAGGTTGATACCATCCAGGACAAAGCAGCCCATTTGATTGGCACCATATCCTTCCCTCCGTCCACTCCTGGTGCTCGGTAGCAGCAGTGTGTCCTATAAAATGCACTGCAACAACTCTCAAAACTTCTGAACTATTGGCCACTGTTCATCTTTGATGTGTCTTTTCTGGATTTTTTTTCAGAGGAGCTTCAGAACAATGTTAGTAAGTTTTCTAATTCAGAACTTTTCCTTGACCATTGAGTTGACCTATATCCACATCGCCAAGGTGGATATTTTCTGTTGGTTTCTCTCATTTTAATTGATAGATTCTGATTCCAACACAGGAACAATCTTTCACTTTACAGTAACTGTGTGGGCTGCCAAGCAGATTGATTTGGTGAGTACAGGCATTCTGCTTCACCCAAGGCCCGACTGAGGTTTGAACTAGATACTGGGCTAGGCCTCGGCAGAGCTCTGATCCGGTTACTAGGCAAAGACCAGGCAGAGCTCCAACACAAGCCCTGGACTGGAACCTGAGATCCTGTGAGCAGCCAATTACAGGGTGGGAAAGAAATGACTAGGAGCTTGGAAATAACTGGTTTCTTTCAACACATTCATTCGCTTGGGGTTCTGAAAATGTGAAAGTTGCTTGGCATCCAATTGAGAAGGATCTGCTCACTCTCTTATTGGTTGGGTACAGGTGGTTACCATGAGGATAGGTGACCAATGATGGGAGAGAGAAGTTGGAATTGGGCAGGTTGGGCAGTTGAAGCTCAGAGGTTAGTGATGAAGAATGCATCCAAGTACCGTCAGCAATGCCTATGTCTTCATGGTAATCGAGATGTGGGATCAGTTAGATCAGTTGGCTGGATGCCTGGTTTGCAATGTTATGTGAGGCTGTAGCCCTTTGTTTTATTGGTAGACCCAATGTTATTAGGAGGGAGTTCCATGATATCTTTCTAATGACATTAAAGGACTGACAATATAGTTCAAAGTCAGTATGGAGCTGGAGGAACACAGCAGGCCAGGCAGCATCAGAGGAGCAGGAAAGTTGATGTTTCGGGTCAGGTCCCTTCTTCAGAAATGGGGAGGGGGAAGGGAGCTCTGAAATAAATCGAGAGAGGAAGGGTGGGGCTGGGGAAGGTAGGTGGGATGGCGATAGGTGAGTGCAGGTAGGCAGTGGTGGGGATTGGTCAGTGAGGTGGAAGGAGCGGATAGGTGGGAGAGAAGATGGACAGGTTATGTCAGGTCAAGGCAGTGGGGATGAGAGGGAGGGTTGGTCATGGGATGCGGCCAGTGGTGGAGAGATTTTGAAACTGGTAAAATCCACATTTAGGCCATTGGGCTGTAGGCTCCCAAGACGGAAAATGAGGTGCTGCTCCTCCAGTTTCTGGGTGGCGTCATTGTGACACTGGAGGAGGCCCAGGATCGACATGTCACCCAGGGAGTGAGAAGGGGAGTTGAAGTGGTTCGCGACTGGAGGGTATTGTCGTTTGTCTCAAACAGAGCGCAGGTGCTCTACAAAGCAGTTTCCGAGCCTCCGCTTGGTCTCATCGATGTAGAGGAGGCCACATCGGGAGCAGTGGATGCAGTGGACCACATTGACAGATGTGCAGGTGAACCTCTGTCTGATGTGAAAGGTTTGTTTGGTGCATTAATCATCACCTCATCACCTCAGGTGACCTCCAGCCCTCAGCCTCCAACCTCATTATTTCCCAACCCCGTACCGCCCAGTTCTATCTCCTTCCCAAAATCCACAAACCTGCCTGTCCCAGTCGACCCATCATCACTGCCTGCTCCTGCTCCACTGAACTTATCTCAACTTATCTCGACTCTATTTTCTCCCCCCTGGTCCAGGAACTCCCCACCTATGTCCAGGACACAACCCATGCCCTCCACCACCTCTAAGACTTCCAATTCCCTGGACCCCAACACCTCATCTTCACTATGGACGTCCAATCCCTTTACACTTGCATTCCCCACGCGGATGGTCTGAAAGCCCTCGGCTTCTTCCTCTCCCACAGGCCCAACCAGTCCCCCTCAACCGGCATCCTCATCCGCTTAACCAACCTCGTCCTTACCCTTAACAATGTCTCCTTCAACTTCTCCCACTTCCTACAGACTAAGGGGGTGGCCCTGGGAACCCGCATGGGCCCAAGCTATGCCTGCCTCTTCATAGGATATGTGGAACAGTTCCTCTTCTGCTGCTACACTGGCACTAGCCCCCACCTCTTCCTCCAGGCAGGCATAACTGAAACCAGGGGAAGGGATCCAAGTGGCAAGTGAATACTGGAGGTGAGTGAAGGGATCAGTGGAATGGTCGTGGGGGAATGGGTGGGGTGTGGGGGAGGTGGCGGAGTGGGATTCCTGCCCAACGAAGTGAGCATGGAGACACAGGCTGCAGAAAAACAGTTCAATGTCATGGCAAGCCCGAAATTCATGAAGGTGGAGGTGTAATGGTATGAAACTGAGTTCTTGGCTGAAGACAATATGTCATCCTCATAGAGGGGCACATCAGGAGGTATGGTGAACACTTGGCAAAGGCTGGAGTTTGGGGGAGTGACCTGTAAGGGACAGAAAGGGATGACATCTGAGGGCTGAGAGGAGGTGGGTGTTAAAGGATGGTGGTGCTCCCTCTTACTCTTTCCTCTCCACCTTCCTTTCCAGCACAGGATATTAACAGGAAACAACAGGGTAGGTAGAGACAAACTATTTCCACTGGTTGGGGATTGCAGAAGTAGTGAGCATAGGGCCAGACAGTATGGGAGGGATGTTAGGCAGCACTGCACAGAATTATTGAATTCCCACAGTGCGGAAGCAGACCATTCTGCTCATTGAATCCACACTGACTCTCCAGAAAATCTCACCCAGACCCCTGTATTTCCTATGCCTAATCCATCTTGCTTGCACATCCCTGAACACTATGGGCAATTTAGCATGGCCACTCCACCGAGCCTGCACATCTTTGGACTGTAGGAAGATACTGGAGCACCTGGTGAAAACACGGGCAGACACACGGAGAACGTGTAAACTCCACACAGACAGTCACCCAAGCCTTGAATCAAACTTGGGTCCCTGGTACTGTGAGGCAGCAATGTCAACCACTGAGCCACCATGCGGCCGTACTTCTACACACAAAGAGTGGCAGATATATGGAGCTGTCTTCCACGAATGGCAGTGAATGCAGGATCAGTTGTTAACATTAAATCTTAGATAGTTGAGTTTTTGTTAAGCAAGGGTATTAAGGGATATGGGTAAAAGGCAAGTATGTGGAATTAGGGCACAAATCAGCCATGATATCGTTGAATGGTGGAACAAGCTCGAGGGGCTGAATGGCCTACCCTATTCCTATTTTTACCACTTCACTTTCATATAGTGTTATTTTATTTTTCCAGAGGCCTGATCTAATAATACATAGTACGTGAGCTTAAATACCACATGGCATATTGAGAATTTCAGTTCAGTTGTACAGATCTGGAAGCAGTTAATGTGGTGATCATTGTTGTAAATCCCAACCTATTCATGCATATCCATTCGGGATTGAATGCTGCTGTCCCCAAAATTTTGATCCTTAGGCTTGCATCTCACTTGCACAAACAATACCGTTCTTACTACAAGTGACCATGTAATTGTAATTCCGTGCAAGTAATATCACTGGTCTGTGCATGCTCAGACATGATTGGATTTCCTTAAAATACTGCTGTATTATCCACATTGTAATTAACAGAGGCAAACCTGAATCATGGAAAGAACAAATTTCCATTGATCAGTTTG